ATTTTTGGGTTAACTAACCCTTTAAGACAACAGTTAAGAGAACTTAAACATTTGAATGCATAATGTTGCCTTGAATTTTTACAGTGTACTGTATATAAATAAGTTAAATGTGCAGTGTTTCTCCTCCTTTGTAGCCTTTTAGATCTGTTGACTCAAAAGCTTACCATTCATGTTCTCTCAACAACTTCAGTTATACTGACTGTTTAATATTGAAATTATCAAGATCAAGAAGAGCAAGATAACTTTTTACAGCATAGTGTCTGATTTAGTTATTCTCTCTTTGTCATTCTCTCTGCTTATAAAACCGGAATGTGAGGTTTACCTCAGGTTTCAGGTACTGAAGTCCGAGCTGCCAGATGCCTGTTGGCAGCTTCCTCTATTGGCAGAACAAATGTGTTCACTAAATTCTTTTCTTTATGTCTGTGCATGCAGCTCGGATTGTGAATCTGATACCACTGCTGACTCCGCAATAATACGACAGCTTAGCATGGAGCAAACATCCAACAAATCAAAGCTCGCTCAACTAATGCACAAGTAACGCCGAAGTACGTATAGTACACGTAAACCTACTGTTGACATTAGAAGTCAAGTACACTTACTGTCCCACCATACATTAAGCTTACCAGCACCTGCTCTCCCAATAAAGTATATATTACAGTACACAGAGAAAAACACTCCCAGGGTTCAGACCAAGGGCACCAGGCCACCTTACTGGACCTGAGGGTGAAAAACCAAAGACAGTGTTTTTCACGGGACAATCTTTATGTTAAGCGAAACCTGTTTTTTTCTACAAAGGAAACATGATTGAAACCCAGTCTTTTGATTATCTGAATGGTTGATTGTAGCCATTTCTGTTGTTTGATATCATAGATGTAGAGCAGGGCTCTTACTCTAGTCCTGGAGGGCCAGCATCCTGCAGACTTTAGTATCTCAAATTTAAACCACCTGTCTGTAATTTGCTATCCATTCTGAACACCACCTTGATAAACTTTTGGTTAGGGTCCGAGCTAAGTTAGGGCTTAGGGTTTAAGAGCCTTGATGTTGAGGATTATTGGTAAATTGGAAATAAAAATAAGAATGAGATTTTCAAGGGTTTGAGGGTCTACTTATTAAGTGGGTGTACCGTAATCTAAACACTCTGACTGCCCATTAAGAGTTAAAGGAAAATAAAATTTAATAAATAAAAACAAACAAATGTCTGAGCTGATTCATGCTGTTTCCCAATACAGGCTCCAAAATTAAAATAGCTCTCAAATATATTATTCTCAACCACACCAGTCACTTTCATTATATAAACTAGCATAAACTTATTTTTTCCCATGGAAGAGATCATATAGAAACAACATGAGGGTGAGTAAATGGTGAGTAAAATATACATTTTTGGGTGAACTACCATTCTACCAAGTTGGTCATTAAAACTGGTAACGTTTTTGAAAGAAAGTATCTTATGCTCACGAAGGCTGCAAATTTATTTGAGAAATATACAGTAAAAAAAACTATATGGAATTTTTATGTTAATATGTCATTTATTCCTGCAATGGCAAAGCTGATTTTTCAGCAGATCCAGTCTTCAATGTTGAAAACAGTTATGCTGCATAATTTCTTTGGAAACTGATACATTTATTTTTTCAGGATTCTTTGATGAATAGAAAGTTGAAATGAACAATATTTATTTAAAATAGAATTGTTTTAAAATAGAATATTTTAAAACAATGTTAAAGTCTTTACTGTCACTTTTGATTGATTTAATACATCCTTCCTGACCCTTTAAATGGTGTATCTTTACGGATTATCTGAATCATAACCAAATCTTTGAAGTCCCCCTTTACATCCTCATCCTCCAGAAGGATTTGTTAATCCAAGGTGAAGGTTTCTGAAAAGAAATGTGGGTGTGTCCCACTTCTTCTTTTTTTTTCTTGAAAATTAAAGCCATGAGTCCTAGGATGAGTTAGAGCAGGTTAATCTTTAAAAGAGGCGATACACATCGTTACTCTGACTGAGTCAAAACAAAACTCTTGTTATCAGCCTCTTCAACTTTGAGGATTCTTCTCCAGCTTTGGATTTCACTGTCATGCATGATGTCAGCAGCTGACAGATGAGACCTAAGCTTGAATTTTGGGTCTGGAAAAATGCTACAATTGAAATGAAAGTGTTAACCTCATAGGTACAAAATTCTTTAATAAATACTTGTTGGGAAAATCAAACAGATGTAACAAATAAAATTCAGATTCAGTATGAGCATCAGTGAATGTAGAAAAATCACAGCCAGTAATGTAATGGACTTTTAGAGGGTTTTTTTTATACAATAATGAAACTTTAATTAAAGAGTTGGATCACCCAAAAATTCTGTCATTATACTCACCCTTTATGTCGTTCCAAACCTGTAAGACCTTCGTTCATCTTCGGAACACAAATTAAGATATTTTTGATGAAATCCGAGAGCTTTCTGACCTAACATAGACTGCAAAGTTATTTCCACTTTCAATGCCCAGAAAGGTAGTAAAGACATTGTTAAAATAGTCCATGTGACTACAGTGATTCAACCTTAACCTTAAAGAGAATACTTTTTGGGCACAAAAAACCCCAAAACTTTATTCAACAATTTCTTCTCTTCCGTGTCAGTCTCCGACGCTGTTCACGTGAGCACCACGATGTATGCGTGTGATGCTGATGCAGGAGCTGGCCAATAAGAAGCCAATACTGAGCCGGCGTTCTGACATAGAACCTGGAAGCGCTGCACTGTGTTTACAACCTGAACAGCGTCAGAGACTGACAGTATTCTCGTCGCTTCATAACATTAAGGTTGAACCACTGTCACATGGACTATTTAACAATGTCTTTACTACCTCTCTGGGGCTTGATAGTATACGTAGCAGCCTAATTTGTGTTGCAAAGATGAATCAAGGGCTTACGGGTTTGGAACGACATGAGGGTGAGTAATTAATTTTTGGGTGAACTAACCCTTTAGGAGTGGCATGATTCAAACCGTGAATAAATCTGAATTACAGCCACATTTTGCATTATCCAATTATTATTCAACTGTAATATTTTCTCTGCACGAAAGACACCAAATGAAACATGTGACAATGAAAAAACATAATTTTTTCCCTTCATTCAGCCACAGCAACATGCACTGATACAAATTTCCTGACCTTCCAGAAACCTTGAAGCTTGAATAATTGTATTTGATTTGAGTCCAATCAAATTTAACAGAACCGCTCATAAATAAAGAGGGAACAATATACCCCAGCTACCTCAAAACAAGGGAGGATTTCAGAAAACATAATTAAATCTTTGCTCATAGTATTCTTTTGTAAAATGGTATTATAGTACCATTTTTTATATATATATAAAATCTGATATTCAACACTATACTCAGACAGAAGATACACTTAAAACTCAAGTGTTTTAAGTTCTTGACTTGGGTCATTTCATGAAGAGACTCTGGTCCATTTGTGGTTCATTTTGAATTGTAGCATAATACCAAGCAATGATGTTCTGAAAACATTTAAGAATAAGAATAATAAAAAAATCTTTCAAAGTCTGCCAACATCCAACTTAAAAACCAGACAGTCTGGGACACTATAGAAACATAATTATATCATGACTGACATTGGCTTGAAAATGCAGGTGTTGGACTTCTCCAAGGAGACGAGTGCCACTCGGACACGCAGCATATCTTTCTCCAATGAAGTACTTTAGACCTTCAGAAGTAGTGATCAGTGACAACATTTGTTGTTGATTTTTACTTTCAGCATGGTCAGTGTGTCCAATCCCTAGTTGACATTCATTAGGAAAGTCACAAAAAAATAACAGATAATCTATTCTAACATGAAGACAGATCATGTAATGTTTAGAGTATTTCTTAAAGTCCCCACAGACTTACAGCCTGTGGCCATTTTACATATATAAAACATTTTCTGACCAACATAAATAAAAGGAATGACATTGTTGAAAAAGAGAGCGACTGAAGGAGAGAATAAGAAAAAGTAATAATTCTAAGAATGACAATAATAAAAAGGTCACATAACTTACTAAACTCAAATATACACAGCTGTCTTTTTTCACTATTTACATATGTACATTGTCATTATAATGAATCATCTCTTAGTAGTTAAAGAACTAAAATAATTTTCCCATACTGTGTGACCAAAAGGCCAAGTGTTTTGGGACAACACAATAGTGCGTTGAGTGAAGTGGCCCTCGATTTTTTTTTACACTTTGACTGTTCTGTTTATATGGCTGTCATGTTAAAGAACAAAAAATGAGCTATAATTTCACCTATCAAAAGCTGAATGAGAATGTATCAGTCAGAATACTCTTTTACTGTCTGGACTACGAGTACCAATTCCCAAAGACGGTTAATTTCAATAACAATAATAGAAAAAGTAAACCTTTTTTCTTAACAGTCTTAAAGGGATAGTTCATCCAAAAATGTAAATTCTGTCATTATTTAGTCACCCTTATGTCATTCCAAATATCAATCTTTCTCTTTTCTTTTTATCGAAAGTGAATAAGCACTGAGGCTGTCAAGTTTCTTAAAAATAAATGTATCTTTGAAAAAGTCTTCTGAACTTCTGAAACTTCAGTTGTTATTCAATGAATATCTTGAGATCCGGCCTAGATCTCCTTGGTGAGAGAGATAGAGATTGTCCGATTCATGTTTTGAGTTTGATCTTTCCAGTAAATCGGTTGATCTTGTTCACAAACCGCTCTGAATGATTTGTTCATTAATTGGACTGATCTGGTCTCAAACTCATTGAACAGTTAACAGCCCAACAGAATATAAGATATTAGTGAATAATGACTTTTTTTCCATTTCGTTTTTTCGCTGTTTTTGTGTGACGAATAGACCAAAATTGACCATATAGCTCCAAGAGACTTGGAATATACCATACAAATGTATTGTATGATACTTTGACGATACGTTTATGTTGTTTCTGCGCCCCTTTTGAAGCTTGAAAGTTCCTGAGCAACTTCCTACACTCTTATGTTAATTTTTGTGTTAGAAGAAGGTCATACGGGTTTAGAGTGACACACAGGTGACTAAATTGTGACCTTTTTTTTGGGTGAACTAACCCTGGCTTTAAGTGTATATGTAGCATATGTTAACAAAAACAATAAGAACCAACATATGAGTATCATCATTAAAAATGTATATAAAAGGTGTAAGAACTGTCTTGAAGGTTCAATGAGGCACTTGAATATATATTTACCTCTGGAAGATTTAACGGCTCCTAGCACTTGACTTTGGGCAGGTCTGGACATAATCAAAAACATTTTAAAGCTGCCTATCGCCAATTTCTCCTCAGCCCCAAGGGTCAAAGGTCTCGCCACAGTTCACAGACATAATCTCAAAGTTCAGCCTTGTGTGAAAATGTCCTTCTTTTTAAGGAAAGTGAGTGCAAGTGTAAACAAAAGAAAAGGATTTTGAAAACCATTCTTTGAAAGTCTGATTTGCTGCATTTATGTGACAAATCCCTGTTTCATTTGACTACACGATGATAAAAAGGATGAAAAAGACCAATCACACCAGTCCCAGATGCTTTCAGATCAGTCAGTGAAAAAAATACTTATGTTTTTTCAGTTTGTCTGGCTTTTTCATACATAGTGATCTTTCATGTGCTCGCTTAAGCTCTCGTTCACATTGTTCTTGCAGCGGTTGTCTTTGCTGCTGTAGTGTGTCCTGTGTGGCTGACTTTGGGCTGTAGTGTGAATAGTGTACACCGCGTCACCTCTAGAGCACGCGAGAGATGAGCACTTATGCAGAACTACCCCTCTGCCGCTCTCTTCATCTCCCTCTTCCTCCTCTTCCTCTCGCTCAGCTCCGTCTCCAACCCGATCCAGAGGGTAAAGCAGGTTCTTGTTCTCCTGCAGCGGGTCCGTGTTGTCTTTGTGAGGTGTGCGAGCGCACAGTAGTGTCCCGCGCTGGTTGTTGATGCTTTCCTCCATCTGCGTGTCCTCTCTTTGTTTCGCTTTCCTGCGTCTCCGGAACCACCACACGCACACGATGACACATGAGATCCATAATACCACAAACAACACACACAGCAACGGGATGAGGTAACCTGTAGAGAGAGACAAAAATCATTTATTTGATCAACAAATACAGTAAAAAATATTAAATATTATTCCCATTTAAAATATCACTTTTCCATTTTAATATATTTTCAAATGTAATTTATTCCTGTGATGGCAAAGCTGTATTTTCAGCATCATTACTCTAGTTTTTAGTGTCACATGATATTATGCTGATTTGCTACTCAGGAAACATTTCTTATTATCAATGTTGAAAACAGTTGTAACATTGTCTTTTGTAACATTGTAAATGTCTTTGTCACATTTGATCAATTTAATGCATCGTTGCTGAATAAAAAAAGCATACTGACCCTAAACTTTTGAATGGCAACATAAGAAAAAGGATTGAAAGAGGGAGAAAGGATGACCAGGTGAAAAGAGAAGGGATCTCACTCACCAGCTTGGGGACGCGGGTCCTGAGTGTCAACTCTGACCTCTCTCACAGCCAACAGTAACGTGCTGTTGTGAAATTTGGACAGAACATCAATGATGGAGCGGACAACATCCTGTATCTGAGCTTGTCCCGCAACAAAGCTGTTTTGCTCATATGACTGAGGAAAACAAAAGAGAGAGAATGAAAAAGAGCAAATGAAAATGTGCAGACTCAAGTCGTTTCTCTCAGCTTTAGTCCTGATGTTTTACTTAGACACCCACTTCGGAACAGAACAGTACTGTCAAACTAATTAGACCGAACCAAATTACAACACTAATTAAACATAATTATATCACTTGTTGTTGGGAAACTCAAAAACAACAACAGAGTCAATGTAATGCTATTTGGCCCTAAAAAGACAGTACACAAATGTATCGTTACACAGTCACATAAAAGAAAACAACAACTAAGAGCCACACAGTTAAAGTACAGATTTAGCAGACACAACCTTACTATTGAAACAGGCAATCACAGAATACAGATTGCGACATCCAGGAAAATGTTCAATCACAAATTAAACCGATAAAACACACATTGGATTATGTAACACGCAACGAAAAAGTCCTTATCCTATTAGGATAAAGGCCCTTGCACACTGAGTCCGACATTTTGCGTTTTTTCGTATTCGTGATTCGGTGACTCTGAATTTTCAAAACACCATTCAAACTCCATTCAAACTGCTTTCTACGGATGCGAAAAACGCAGAAAATCGAACCCGATTCGATTTTTTTTATGACGGACGAAAGTTTCGGAGGCAGTTGAAAGCGTGATTGACATAACGTAAGGTCGTATTTATTTTTTAACGTGCGAAAATTTCGGACTCAGTGAGCAAGGGCCTTAACTACAAAGGGAAAATCTAATTTGAACCAGGAAATAAACAAAGTAATAAGATTTTTTTTTTTAAATGTTATCCTCTTTGATTTTCATAAGAAAGCACTCTAAAATTTAGACTGAATAACTAGAAAAAAGTAGAGTAAGAGAAAAGAGGAGGAATGACTAAGGAAGAAAGACAGCATAAATTATGTAGCCTATGAAATAATTGAATAATCAGAAATGAAAGAAGTAAGACCTGACTGGGCAAGTTATTCACCTTTCCCTTAAATTTCATGACCTGTAATTTTTCTGTGGTAATAGTCAGAGTATAACTACACTGGATTCAACAGGGGACGTCCCAGTGCTGAGCTTAAAACATCAGCACAAAGCAAAGTCTTATGAGATCTCAAACCATAAAAGGTTACCGCTCCTTTTCCGGAAATCTTTCAATGTTACAACATAAATCTTGAGAGCATTACAACATCACAGAAAGAGTAGAACTAAGATTCTGGTCATTAAGGGCTTAAAGTAGAGGACCAGACCTTTCCCCAAGATTACTACAGCAATGGTCTCAGAGCGAGTGAAGGAGAAAGAGAGAGAGAGAAAGATGAGAGGGACTACAGACTGTAGAGCAGGACAGGTGAGGTATGTTATAAGTGAAAAGCTGGATTTATTTTTTTTATGTGAAAAACATTTAGATAAAGAATCCAATTTTACAAGCACTCTTTTGAAGCCATTTGACTGATTTAAAGTGCCTTTTTTGAAGGAACGCAAACTGGAAGACAGGCAGGGAAATGTTTTAAAGCAGAAACGAGATGGAAAGAGAGAAATAAACACTCCAAAGTGAAGGAAAACAGATGTGATGGTTTCAGGAAGAGCGTGTTATTGGATGAAAAATTCAGTGTTTTGATACACACTGTTTTAAGCTGCCTTCAAGAGATGTCAGAGTGATTGCTTATACGAGACGAGTCCACATAAATGTAACCACAGTTGTGTTTAGCAGAAGGAAACTTAAGCAGGCCCAACTTTCCAAGTTGGAGGCGTGTCCATTAATAGCAGATGCTAATTGATCATAAAAAACTTTTACTATTTAGTTTGAATGCATTTTGTGTTCTGTATAAGAATAGAGATCAAACTTGTGACATACTACTCATTAAGACTTTTTTTCTGTGGCACACAAGACAAAAAACAGATCAGAAAACATCAGTTAAAGTGCAAAAGATACAGTAAAGTGCAGTATCTATTTATTGTCATGTGAAAACAGCTACTATATTTATGCTAGTAAATTCTTCATTGTTAACATTTTTAAACAGTGTTTTTATGTTGTATGTCAAGACGTGTTGCTTTTTTTCTTAGCAGCTCTGCGATTGAACATGGGTACCGAGCTTGTTTACAACCGATGAGGTGATTTCATAGGATTAAAGACTGATGGTTGAAGAGAGTGAGCTCACCATAGCAACCTCCACGGCATTATGGCTGGACGGTGATTGGTCACAAAGAATGGAAAGGGTGTGGTCTTTGGCCAGGGTTCGTGTGATTGGCAGATACGTTAGCTCTGTGCAAACACCTTCAGCAGTTGTGCCCTGTTAAACAACCCCACGAACATGCCACAAATGTTGGTGTTTTGGTAGGAAATCATGTTTATGTGAGTTAATAAGATGTGTATGTCTTTCAATACTTTCAGCATTTACTAAATGAAAACCTCTTACCTGCGGGACACTGTCAGAGTCAAATACAAGCGTAACATGAGCACAGTTATCATCTAGGTAGCCGTTGTTAGGTAGGCACCGAGTGCTGATGGGCTGTAGTGGATGTTCAGAGGTGGAGCATATTCCCAGCTGACTGCAGGGTGGACGAAGGCAAGACAGGAAATGATGCGCTACACACTCCTGTCCTAGTGGACACAGGGGGCGCTGTAGCTCACCAGAGTCTGACTGCAACATGCAGGGCTGACGACCACAACGCACCTGCGGTCACAATAAAAAAAACGTAGTGAAGAATTTATATCTAGATACAAATAAATAATGAATAAAATAATTAAATAAAATCTACATGGAGGTGTCATTTTCTTTATGCAAAAAAATTGTGTTTGTGAGATTGATATTTTAAGTTTGTGAGATGCATTTTTAACTCCTTCCAACAATAACATTTTACACTGAATGTGACTGCAATTGGACTGTAAGATTAGGTTGGTACAGTAGCACAGTCTGAGGTAGATCATAGGACTCACTTTAGTGCATTTGATGTTTCCGTTCATGCACTGACAGCTGTTGCACCCATCCTCCCAACGATCACCGTGAAGAAGCTGCAAGCCTGAGCGATCGCATGCCTTTCCAACACCAATGACTACAGATGACAAGAGATGGAGAGGAACACAGAGAAAGAAAGAGAGATCAGATCTTGAAAGTTGCAGTACTGTTCAAAAGGTTGGGGTCAGTATTTTTTTTTTCTAAAATTAATACTTTTATTCAGGAGGGATGCATTAAATTGATCAAATTTGACAGTAAAATACATTTATAAGGTTTAGATGCACAAATTCCTGGTAAATTGTATAACGGTTTCCACAAAAATATTAAATATAATAATAATATGTGTTTATTGAGAAGCAAATCAGCATATTAGAATACTTTCTAAAGATCATGTGAAACTGAAGACTGGAGTAATGATGCTGAAAATTCAGCTTTGCATCACAGGAATAAAAATATATTAAAATTGAAAACGGTTAACATTTTAAATAACTGTATTTTTGAACAAATACATGGAGCCGGAGACTCTTATATATTGGACATAATTTAGTGATTTTAATTCATTAATAATCATAACATTTTTCTTAATGTGGGAGGGACAATGAAACATTTCGCTGAATGTATTTAGCTGTTTTTGTTGAACACATATTTCATTTTTTTTCACACAAACACTGATGGAACCCTTGCAGTACCACCACAGACCCTTGTTGAACTTTGTTGAAACAGGCAATTTAGTCTGGTCCAGTTTTGTTTGGCTCAAGTTCAGATGTGTTCACACAACATGAGTAGACAGCAAAGATTTTCAACACTTCATTTCTCATAATGCAAACAAGTAGGGTGGTCTGTCAGTGGGAACTCACACTCCTGGCAGCGCGGTCCAGCTCGTCCCACTGGGCACAGACAGCGATATCCATTAATCTCATCCACACATGTGGCTCCATACGAACAGGGGGAGGACTGACACTCATCTATGTCTGAGATCGAGTGAGAGACAGAAGTAGAGAGAGCGTGTTAAAGTCGCAATGTAGCGAAAGTAGTGACAGATCTTTTCTTCCGTACTGTGACATACTGTACGTCCGAGTGATTTTTTTGAGGGGGTTTTTGATTTAATGGAGCAGATCTGAATGCAAGCTTGCAGTCGATTGTAAGAAAGGGACAGGGCTTATGCAGACTATATGATTGTAGAAGTCCATATGTCAACAAAAAGAAGGTTAAGTGTGTGATTTTTGCACCACTAGTTGCACTAAATGGAACAGAGCGCATTAGTGTACGCCCACTTTTTAGCGGCGTTGGTTACGGAAATATTTTCGATTCATTTTTCCCATTGTTTTAAAAAAAAGACTTTGTTAAAGCGCTATAAGCCATAAACCAAGCCAACCAGCTATGAGGTGAATCACAACATTACAAACTTTTATTTGAAGCAAAAAAGTATTTGAAAAAAGACAAAGGTACAAGACTGTGGTCCGTGTACATTCACCTGGTTCAGTCGTTTTTCGATTTAATATTAAAAGTAGAAAAATTAGAAAAACGCTCATCATACAGCAGTCATAACTTTTATTTTAGACAGCACGCTGAGTTTTGAACATGGGATGAAGCTGAAATCAAATTAATTAATGCTATTGCAAAATAAAGCCACAGAACAGTTGCAAGGCTGATTCAAAACACTGCACAGTGCTGTTCCTTAATGAATTTGATTCTTTAAACGAATTGGTTGAGTGAATGATTCAGCCCCTTGCTTCATTCCTGAATGAATCAGCGTTTTGAACGAATCGGTTGAAAGAACCGACTCACTCATTAAGACCACCTACTGGCGGTCTTACTCTCTTAAATTTAAAACTTTAATTTCATAACACTGTATAATTGTAATTACTGTGTAAATCCTCTGAGCAGCATCAAACAGTTTGTAAATACATCTAAATGCCACTTTGAAATTCAGATGCAACTTTTTTGGTTGATTGATTCTGATTTAATATGATAGGTAACAGCTTGTTGTCTTATTCTAATTGAATTAAATTGAAGAATTTGGCATAAAAGATGACAAATATATTTAAAAAGATTAGAATAATTGCCCTTATAAAGGTAAAATATGCCCCTGAAAAATGAACATGTTACATGTGTGTCCTGTGTTTCCCCCCGTCATTGTGATTTGGTTTAGTCCTGTGTTAGTTTTCCCGCTCCTCGTTTGTGTTCAGTTCCTTCACCTGTGTCTAGTTTATTTGCCCCAGCTGTGTCTTGTTCTCCTAATCTGTTCTGTGTATTTAAACCCTGTGTTCTCCCTCACTCCTGGTCGGTTCTCGTTCGTATGTACGTCTATGTTACATGGTGTAAAGCTTGAGTGTTTCCGTAAGACCGTCATTTTGTATCTGAGTTTTGATTATATAAGTAAATGTTTGAATTGGAGTCTTTGTGTCAGCCTCTCCTTCATCCTGCACCATCATCCGTGACAGACCCGTAACAGAAGAACCGACCAAAAAGTAAAGAAAAAAGGGAAGATGGAGAGCTGGAAGCAGGCCTTTGTGGGAACCCGCCAAGCTGTGTTCCGTGGGACCCGTGGAGGCCGCAGTGGAGGCGGTGGTCGAGAGGAGTCCCGACACAACTCTCCACTCTGGCCTCTCTTCGATCCTGGGTTGGTGGTGTCCAGTTCAGCCAAGCCTTCGCCGCTGGTTCCATCCAGCACCAGGCCCTCTACACCGCTGGTTCCGTCCAGCACCAAGCCCTCTACACCGCTGGTTCCGTCCAGCACCAAGCCCTCTTCACCGCTGGTTCCGTCCAGCACCAGGCCCTCTTCACCGCTGGTTCCGTCCAGCACCAAGCCCTCTTCGCCGCTGGTTCCATCCAGCACCAGGCCCTCTTCACCGCTGGTTCTGTCCAGCACCAAGCCCTCTTCACCGCTGGTTCTGTCCAGCACCAAGCCCTCTTCGCTGCTGGTTCCGTCCAGCACCAAGCCCTATTCACCGCTGGTTCCGTCCAGCCCAGCCAAGCCTGCACCGCTGGTTCTGTCCAGCCAATCCGAGCCAGAGCCCGCTGATCCTGCGCCGGAGCCCGCTGATCCTGCGCCGGAGCCCGCTGATCCTGCGCCGGAACCCATTCATGCTGCACTTGAGTCTGCTCTGGAAGACACAGCGCTCATTGTGGTGTCCGTGGCTGTTTTGTGTGTGTGGGCAGCACACACATCAACTACAGCCCATGAACCCAGCCTAGAGCTTCCCCGCACGCCTGCCGAGCCAGAGCTTCCCCGCACGCCTGCCGAGCCAGAGCTTCCCCGCACGCCTGCCGAGCCAGAGCTTCCCCGCACGCCTGCCGAGCCAGAGCTTCCCCGCACGCCTGCCGAGCCAGAGCTTCCCCGCACGCCTGCCGAGCCAGAGCTTCCCCGCACGCCTGCCGAGCCAGAGCTTCCCCGCACGCCTGCCGAGCCAGAGCTTCCCCGCACGCCTGCCGAGCCAGAGCTTCCCCGCACGCCTGCCGAGCCAGAGCTTCCCCGCACGCCTGCCGAGCCAGAGCTTCCCCGCACGCCTGCCGAGCCAGAGCTTCCCCGCACGCCTGCCGAGCCAGAGCTTCCCCGCACGCCTGCCGAGCCAGAGCTTCCCCGCACGCCTGCCGAGCCAGAGCTTCCCCGCACGCCTGCCGAGCCAGAGCTTCCCCGCACGCCTGCCGAGCCAGAGCTTCCCCGCACGCCTGCCGAGCCAGAGCTTCCCTGCACGTCTGCCCACCCAGAGACTGTCCCAGAGCCTGTGATTCCCCCCAAGAAAGTTTTGGGGGGGGGATATAGGCCACCTGAAGGTGCGTCTCCGCCATGGCCGCCCGAAGGTGCCTCTCCACCATGGCCACCTGAAGTGGCCTCTCCACCATGGCCACCTGAAGTGGCCTCTCCACCATGGCCACCCGAGGGACAGTCTCCACCCTGGCCACCTGAAGTGGCCTCTCCACCCTGGCCACCTGAAGTGGCCTCTCCACCCTGGCCACCTGAAGTGGCCTCTCCACCCTGGCCACCTGAAGTGGCCTCTCCACCCTGGCCACCCGAGGGAAAGTCTCCACCCTGGCCGCCCGAGGGAAAGTCTCCACCCTGGCCGTCCGAGGGAAAGTCTCCGCCCTGGCCTCCTGCACATCCTGCTCCGCCCTGGAGGCTTCCTGCTCAGGGTAGGCCACGCCCTCGTCAGCCTCCAGGGCGCCCGCCCCCCCACCCCTTTTGAAGTTATACGGCGCGAGGACGCGCCTTTTTGGAGGGGGCGTTATGTTACATGTGTGTCCTGTGTTTCCCCCCGTCATTGTGATTTGGTTTAGTCCTGTGTTAGTTTTCCCGCTCCTCGTTTGTGTTCAGTTCCTTCACCTGTGTCTAGTTTATTTGCCCCAGCTGTGTCTTGTTCTCCTAATCTGTTCTGTATATTTAAACCCTGTGTTCTCCCTCACTCCTGGTCGGTTCTCGTTCGTATGTACGTCTATGTTACATGGTGTAAAGCTTGAGTGTTTCCGTAAGACCGTCATTTTGTATCTGAGTTTTGATTATATAAGTAAATGTTTGAATTGGAGTCTTTGTGTCAGCCTCTCCTTCATCCTGCACCATCATCCGTGACAGACCCGTAACAGAACAATTGAGGGGGCAAATTTGCCCCATAATAGGAAAGTTCATTTCTGATACTGCTAGATGACGATACATATAAAATACTCTTATGTTCTCTGGCTTTATGGTGAAGGTGTCATTTCAGGGTTTTGATATCTTCCCGCAGCTGAGAGAGTACTTCCTCGACCTGTATTATATATTGTATTATAATGGCTATTTAACATTACCCCTAACCAGGATCCGCTCCGTGCTGTCCAGTGGGTCACACAGCTTTGCCACACAGATTTTGATAGTTGGAAAACTAAATAAAATTAGCAGTGTGCCAAGAAGTAGACCGATGGGTAATGTGAGTGCAGATGCGAGGTAGCCTACATTAATATTTCTGAAATAATCAGCTAATATTTCTCTGGCACATATAGGTTGTCGAACCCATGCCGATAGAGAAGAAAAACCTTTCTAGGCCCAAACGGACCGACTGTGTACTTAACGGAAAGAACTGCGATCCCATGAAGCATTGTGAATGACAATCAAATTAAAAACGATGGTAAAATATAAAACTATTATTTATAATATATTTTAAGTTTACTGCAAAATATTTTATATATGCAAATATTTAAGTATTTCAGAGCATAAGGAGACAGACTTTTTTTTAAACATTCCACTTGTAAACTAATATTTAATATTTTTATTTTATTAATTTAAATAGTAAAATAATTTTATGGTAAGTACTTTATCTCAAATTTTTAACAATAAAACACTTTAAGGATTTTTTTGTCCTGTCATGAATATTCATAGTTCTTGCTGTATCATTGAATCATGTTTACAGATACAGTATGTGCAGATGTATTCACTCACTTATGCGACAGTCAGGCCCTGCAAATCCAGGTCCGCACTCACAACGAAACCAGTTGACCCCGTCCACACACTGTCCCCCATTATAACTACATAGAGAGAAAGGGACAGTGAGTAATACATACTTGATCTTAACTGACAAGCTTACCAAGATAAAGATGCTACAGATGCATTAACTAGTAGGCCCTCATGCTAGATGTAGGCATTTAAACATTTATATTCGGTCTTCCTAAGAGACTCACTAAGTTCTGCCAAAGTTTTGTGAATGACAAGCTCAGTTGTTTGCGTGAGTGATTGTTTTTTTGCTCTCCTTTCTGTACTTTTCTTCACTTACTTTATCTATTGCATCACTTACCAGGGATGAGGGTTGCAGTCATCAACATCTGAAAACAGAATGAAAACATCTCATGAAGGCAGAACTACCAGAGGATATATCAGAACTAGACCTGTCAGGGCAAATCACAGCCTGCCAGCACACCTAAAGCCCAATCACAGCTATACATGTGGGAGTAAATCACAATTAAACATGCTTAAGGTTTTAGTTAGCTGATATTTTTGGAAAAGAGAGTAAGCTAGGGGGAAACAGATAAGTGGGTGTGGTCTTACCCTGAGCACAGATAGGCCCCGTCCATCCTTCCTTACAGACGCAAGTGAAGACGCTGCCCCCTCCAATGCAAGTCCCGCCATTTAGACACGGACCAGATTCACACAAGCTGTTCATGGCTAGAAAGAAAGAGAGGGAGATAGTGAGAAAGATACAGACTAAATGAGTTCAGCATGGAGGTGTTTTGGTTTCTATCTCACCCGTGTTACAGGTACTGCCACCCCAACCAGAAGGACACACACATCGGAATGAGTCTCCATGATCGTGGCACGTTCCTCCATTAGCACATGTACTGGAATCACACTGATTGTCTCCTGTAACAACAAATCCACTTTGAGTGCAGGCACGGACAGTTAGATGCCTAAAATGAAAATACATTTATACATTCACTTACGTGAGTTACACGTCTTTCCTTTCCAGTTGTCAGTGCAGCTACAGTTGAAATCATTCAGCAGATCGATACAAACACCTCCATTTAGACAAGGCTCACCACTACACTCATTCACCTCTGAAGAGAACATTTTAAGATATATAAGATTATATATAGAACATTATACATAATGCTAAATTTAAGAGGACTCGGATCAATATTGCCAAATCTCTCTACAAAAACAAACAACCTGGATAGAAGACACTGTAATGTGTACTGTATATTTTGTTATGTTCCCTTATGGTTTCATTTTTATTCTGTTTGCTCTGTTCCTGTTTGCCTTAGTTCTGTTTAGTCCCACACCTGTTTCGTTTGTATCCCCATGTATTTAAGCCCTGTGTTTAGTTCAGGTCTTTGTCTGGTATTGTTAATGTGGCTGTGTTGAGTTATTCTCTTGCGATCTCCTGAGTTTTCTGATTTGGATTTATTAAAGACCGTTTTGTTTCTCCACTCCTACGTGCGCTTTATTACACCCAAACATGACCGAATGCTGGTCAATAATATATATATGCATCCTTGGTGAGCATAAGAGACTTATTTCAAAAACATTTAAAAAATCTTCTGACCCTAAACTTTAGAACCATGGTGTAGGAAACATTTTAATAATTTTTGTAAACTTTTATATTTATTTAAAGAACACTTTCAAGATGGCAATTAGTCTCGTTATAACTATGTTGTATGCAACTTTATGCAAGTCAAACTCCTGAAGTGATATACACTCACCTAAAGGATTATTAGGAACACCTGTTCAATTTCTCATTAATGCAATTATCTAATCAACCAATCACATGGCAGTTGCTTCAATGCATTTAGGGGTGTGGTCCTGGTCAAGACAATCTCCTGAACTCCAAACTGAATGTCAGAATGGAAAAGAAAGGTGATTTAAGCAATTTTGAGCGTGGCATGGTTGTTGGTGCCAGACGGGCCGGTCTGAGTATTTCACAATCTGCTCAGTTACTGGGATTTTCACGCACAACCATTTCCAGGGTTTACAAAGAATGGTGTGAAAAGGGAAAAACATCCAGTGTGCGGCAGTCCTGTGGGCGAAAATGCCTTGTTGATGCAAGAGGTCAGAGGAGAATGGGCCGACTGATTCAAGCTGATAGAAGAGCAACTTTGACTGAAATAATCACTCGTTACAACCGAGGTATGCAGCAAAGCATTTGTGAAGCCACAACACGCACAACCTTGAGGCGGATGGGCTACAACAGCAGAAGACCCCACCGGGTACCACTCATCTCCACTACAAATAGGAAAAAGAGGCTACAATTTGCAAGAGCTCACCAAAATTGGACAGTTGAAGACTGGAAAAATGTTGCCTGGTCTGATGAGTCTCGATTTCTGTTGAGACATTCAGATGTTAGAGTCAGAATTTGGCGTAAACAGAATGAGAACATGGATCCATCATGCCTTGTTACCACTGTGCAGGCTGGTGGTGGTGGTGTAATGGTGTGGGGGATGTTTTCTTGGCACACTTTAGGCCCCTTAGTGCCAATTGGGCATCGTTTAAATGCCACGGCCTACCTGAGCATTGTTTCTGACCATGTCCATCCCTTTATGGCCACCATGTACCCATCCTCTGATGGCTACTTCCAGCAGAATAATGCACCATGTCACAAAGCTCGAATCATTTCAAATTGGTTTCTTGAACATGACAATGAGTTCACTGTACTAAAATGGCCCCCACAGTCACCAGATCTCAACCCAATAGAGCATCTTTGGGATGTGGTGGAACGGGAGCTTCGTGCCCTGGATGTGCATCCCACAAATCTCCATCAACTGCAAGATGCTATCCTATCAATATGGGCCAACATTTCTAAAGAATGCTTTCAGCACCTTGTTGAATCAATGCCACGTAGAATTAAGGCAGTTTTGAAGGCGAAAGGGGGTCAAACACAGTATTAGTATGGTGTTCCTTATAATCCTTTAGGTGAGTGTGTATATATATATATATATATATATATGGACCGTTTTATATATATATGTATGTATGTATGTATGTGTGTATATATATATATATATATATATATATATATATATTTTTTTTTTTATGTATTGTAATTTATTCCTCTGATGGCAAAGCTGAATTTACCTGTCACACAATTCCTCAGTCAGAAATCATTCTAATATGAAACATTTCTTATTATTTTCAATGTTGAAAACAGTTGTGCAACTTAATATTTTTGTGGAAACCCTGATATATTGAAAAATATAACCCTGAAAAATTGTTTTGATGAATAGAACATTTTATAGAAATGAATAGAAATATGTCCTTGCTGATTAAAAGTATATATTTTTTAATACTTATTAACCACAAACTTTTAAATGGCAGTGTTCAAATGACTATCTAAATCAATTAATAAATCTCTCTCTCATAGGACTGCTACACTACTCCACTAATGTAAGAGACAAAAGTTATACAGAGCTGATATTTTTACCCAGCTCACAGAGTTGACCATCAAAGCCATCAGGACAGATACAGCGGAAGGAGTCGATGTCATCAATGCATGTTCCTCCGCTGTGACAAGTAGATGATTCACAGTCATTTATATCTGAGAGAGAAAGCAGAAAAGAATGTTGCTTGTATGTTTATATTGAAGGTTTAATAATGGTGTGTGTATGTGGATGTGTGTAATATTACTCACTCTCATGACAATATGTGCCAGTAAATCCTGGTTGGCAGGCACAGGTGAAGTTTCCTTCTGACTGGCTGATGCAGCGCCCATGAGGACCACACACATTTGATAAGATGTGCCGTACCGTTTTTGCTGTGCTATTGGTTGTCACGGCAATAGTACAGCTGTCAATCACTAATAGGGAAAACAAAACAAGATTAAACAAAGATTGTCATTAATGTTTGTGTGTAATATCAGGATCTTTGAAAGAAAGCATATAAAGTAAAATAAAACAATAATTCTTAAATATAATCTTGTTGTTGCCAGCGCCGTACTCTACTACTTGAGGTACGGGAACACATCATAACATAAATTTGATCAGACCTTCTGTGAGGTCATTTGTCTACCTTGGCAGGTGCTGGTCTTGCAGTGGTCTCGTAGCTGACTGCATGTTTTGCCCTCATATTCATCTGTGCAGGCGCAGTAAAAATCTCCCTGCAGAGAGTGACACTGGGCTTTATTCTGACATGGGTTTGGACTGCATAGATCCACCTGCACCTACAGAGAGAGTGAGAGAATGAGAGAGGAAATTAGTGATTGAGAAAGAGAACGTTTTTTTGTGTGCATATGGAATTATTGACCTCACCTCACAGTTGGTTCCAGTGTATCCGTACAGACACTCACACTCATAGCCCATGGCCAGCGAACGGCACCGTGCATCATTTTGACATGGGGAGCTTGCACACCTGCTCTGCTGCACTTCACAGTGTCTTCCCATGAATCCCGGCTGGCACTGGCACACATAACCATGACGACCATCCTAACAAATACACACAAAGGTGGAGATGAATCGCAGGTGTGCAGGGCAGAGGCCCAAGCAAGCTTGTAAAACTTAGGGTGTAAAAAACCAAGATATTAAATCTCATTCCATTGTTTTTTCTTAAAGGGATAATTCACTCAAAAAAGAAAGTGACTTACTTTCTTCTGCGGAACACAAAAAAGATTTTTTGAAGAATGTTTTTTGGTGACCACTGACTTCCATTGTGTGGCCAAAAAACACACCAAGACATTTCTCAGAATATCTTCTTTTATGTTCCACAGAAGAATAATAAACAGTATTGCGCCTAAATAAACTAGATTGTGGATGATTAATGAAAAAGATGCAGGTTTCTGTACCGATATGCTGCGCACAAAAGCTGTGCAACCGATTCAACCCAGAATGTCTAAAAAGTAATGCCAACTAAAACAAGAATATGCCCACCTGACAGGTTCCTCCATTCTGACACTGACCGTAACAGCTGTTGACATCTGTGAAATAATCATTAACACATCAACATAACATTCTGGTCCAATATGTGTAAAAGCAAAGAAAAATTAGAAAACGAGATTAAAACGTCTCAGAGCTGTTAGACATGCGAGAGCAGGCAGCATTACAGAACACATGCACAGTTAGGAGAAAACTTTTAAGAGACAGATTCAGAATAACTGAAGACAGAAAATGCATCACTTCCTTTACAATGTGCTCATGGCTTGTTTCTGTTGAATACATACATTTTAAAGTCTGTGCTGGTCACTTTTTTAACATGGAATTTAAAACAACTTTCAAAAAGGACAACAAAAAGCATCATAAAAGTGTTTTTTGATAGCTCTATGATAACCTGTGTGATGATCAGAGCAAATTGTAGCAGACTGAAGTGCTTTTCCTTGGAACGTTCATCAGAAAAATGTCTGATTTATGAACAAATCAATTCTTTGAGTCAGATCGAATCAATGAATAGTTGGATCCAGTTTACAAAATTGGTCAAAAATATTTGTTCACAAACCTCACTGACTCAATGATTCCGTCACATTAACACTGTAGGTAAAAATCAGCAAATATTGACTTAAATTGGCTTAAATATCAGCCCATTTGCCATTCAAAGCTATTGTATAGTGTAAGAGAAACATTTTCATGGATTTGGATCAACAATAGGATAAGCAAATTATAACAGAATTGTATTTTTTTGGGTGCCCTATCAATTTAAAGCAGTTTTTCTGCTTAATAAAAAGCAAAGCAGCTTTAATCAGCGTTAGAGAATAGGAAGAAGAGCAAAAGTTTGCTGCTTTGCAAAAAAGGGTGGAAAAGTTTGAGAGATATAGACTTTATAGAGTTTGTATACTGACTGATATTACAGTTCGGTCCCGCCCAGCCCGGGTAGCAGTTGCAATGATATCCACCAATTAGATTTTTACAAGCATAAGCGTTTAGACAAGGTTTCCTCGTACACTCATTCACATCTGTGTGAGAAAGAAAAGGAGGATGAGGGGAGCTAGAGATAGCATGGAAGATCGAGCCCCACCACCAAGCACAAGATCTCTGTTGTGTCAAGCCCCGTAAAAAAACTCAGATTCGTACTGTGGCGTGGCATATATACACACATCCTCTGTGCTGACAGCTTTTCATTTAAAGTCCCCTGTGTGTGTTACGACAGTATAGAAGTTCATAAAAAGGAGGTGAAACTAATCTAAATGTTCATGTTCTGTCTTAAAAGCTTTCAGACACCTTAAAACAGTGGTTTTCTGTGTAAAACTGAAAAAGTCATGGGGCCTTTGAATATCGTTGTGGACAATGGTGTAGCCTTGGAGTAAAAAAGCTGACCTAAAACAGGAATTCCCAAACTTTATTGTCAGCCAACCCCCTTAGATGTTAAATATTTTCTTGAAGTACCTGCTGAGATTTTAAGTTAATAATTTCAATTTTTAATTTCAATAATTGAATGACATATATGTGCATATCCATGGTTCTCTGATGTTGATAATAACACGTTTAGTTTAGTATAGTTCCTTTATTGTCCACAAGTGGAAATTTGTCTTTGGCTTCACTATACAACACACACGGACACCAACACAACATAATAATATACATAAAAAAAATATAAAACAATGAAAACATTAATATATAAAACAACAATATTATATAAGACAATATATAATAATAAAATATATTGTTATTATTAGTAGTAGTTCTATTTTTTAACTCTAATTTAAACTTAGAAATATATTTCTGTTGTAATTCCAACTGTATTATAAGATATTTATAATAATGAAATGCACTGCACGCTTTACTCTGAAACAGGGGAAATGGGTTTAATGTGCACAGGAGGGTACAGTATGTATTAAGTGAACAGATTAAAGTTGAGTGGCTATATGGGACCGATGGTGTACCCTGGATGAAATCGGACTCCCTCTTCAATCCTGCACAGGTAACCCTGCCTGCTCCACACCTGAGACTGGAACACTACCGGGGAAACCTGACCCGGCCCCTATAACCAGACACCACAGCTACAATTCCACACTGCACTTGTTTACAGGTTATAACGCATTTCCTGTCGCACTATCAGTAAAATACTTCCACCACACCCCTTTTGAGCTTCTTTCTCCACCCCATGATCACTCTAATATAGTCCCACAAAAAGATAAATTTAGTCCCCGTCTTGGCAGTTGCCAGGCCCGTTGATATATTTAGCTTTACTTAAATCACCTGGGTCTGGTTACAGATAATATTCAGCTATGTGCCATGACCACACAGCCTCGAACGAAATTCCATATCACACACATACAGTACATGCCCGCAAACTCAGGTTAAAACAACATACAAGCACGCAATGCCAACATATATACATATTTACAGGCATATCACACGCTCATGCACTCACAAAAAGCAATCAAAGGCACAAGCATACAGTACGCTCGCGCTGTAACACAATCACCTGTGAGTAATTCCTGATGTAAGATGTAAACGCGACATTCAGTTACACACCTCATTACATTAAACAAGCACTATGCACACTCAAGAGAACTGCTGATATTTGAGAGGTGCCATGAGGCATCCTATTTAGACGTGATATGATCCAGTTAAACGTGGTACTGTTTTGTAGCCCTAGTATAAAATCAGTAATATGAATAACAGTAAACACACACACACACACATACTAGGTCTCACCTATCTGACAGGTCTTGCCAGTCCACTGTGGGGGGCATAAACAGTCAAAGCCATTCTCCAGATCAAAGCAGGTCCCCCCATGAGAGCACGGGTTTGACGTGCACTCATCTTTGTCTGAAACACATGTACACAGAATGAAAATAAATATGCACAATTGAGAGATAGTCTACTTCATCTAGACTAGATAAAAAGCGAGTGACTTCTGACCTTTAGCACAAGTTGGGCCATCCCACCCTGGGGGACACTGGCACTCAAACCCTGACGCCAGTTCATGACATGTCCCGCCATTTGCACATGGATTTGACATGCACGCATGCTCGGCTGTAAGTTACAAATATACGAATATTAAGAATAGTTTGTCAGAATATCAGAAAGCTTTTCTGCAGAGTATCAGAAAGCTTTTTTCTTACCGATATGGCAGTTTTTGCCGGAGTAACCCTCAGGGCAAGAGCAGAAATATTCATCTGGCTCAGCATTCAGACAAGTGCCTCCATTTACACAGGGCTTGTGTGTGCCACAGTAATTTAAATCTGTACAGAAACAAACAAATAAACTATATACAATCTTTCTTTTCTGACAGGAAAGAATTTGGCAGAAAAAGTTGCAACATGCCATTCGGAGCAGAAAAAATGAGAGGGAACAGGCCTCGACTGCATTCATTTACTATCTTAACAAAACATTTTTAAGTAAATGAGAAGTTACAGGTCATAGCACCAGGAATCTCATATAAGAGGGTTATTTTGTGAGTGTGTATGTTTGCAAATATTTGGGTAATCTACCTGCTCAAAAGTTTGCCATCTCTAAAAATTTTTTATATATATTTTTTTAATATATTATATTTCATATTTAAAATATCTTATGTTCACCAAGGCTGCATTTATAAAATACAATATAAACAGTAATTATGTGAAATATTTTAAAGTGTAATTTAGTTCTATAATGGCAAAGCAGAATTTTCAGCAGTCGTTACTCCAGTCTTCAGTCACATGATCATATTATGCTGATTTGATTCTCAAGAAACATTTTGTGCTACTTAATATTTAGAATTTTTTTTTTTTTTCAGGATTGTTTGATGAACAGAAAAGAATCATTTATTTACATGAACAGCATTTATTTAAAAAAGAAAAACTTTTGTGCAGTAGTGTATGTGTTTCTTTTTTGTTAATACAGATGCACTAGGGCTTTGAATGGAAGACGCTGCCAGATATTTTGTATATTTTTTTCAATTACATGATATGCTACTTAATTCCATCTATATTTGCTGAAAAAAGAAGGTACCGGTAATTCAACTTACCTTTGTCACACAGAAGTCCTCCCCAGTTCATCTCACAGGTGCACGTCCAGGGTTTCAGACAAGTGCCATGCATACACCCCGGGTACGGCAAACACTCATCGCACAGTGGACCTTGCCAGCCGTACTTACACCTACAACACAGTAGAGCATAAGCATGAGCAGGAGTGTGTGTGTGGTCCTGGTTAACCATATGTTATGGGGTCAAAATGTGTGTGATATTTCTGCACAAGCCTCCCTTAACGAAATTTATACTAATGAACACATTTATCGCACAGCAGTAAAAAACCTATTAAATCATATCAACTTTCAATGTGTTTAACTTTTTTTTTTTTACACAAGTTTTCTATTTACACAGAAAATGTTGTCACACATTGCACATGTACACCACACCAGTAACTATGAGGGAGAGAAGTCTGAGTATCACAGGGAGAGGAGTGTAAACTTCTTTCCAGTAGTGCACACAGGTCGTGACCTCTGTCTCTTTCCTAATCTAAGACAGCAATGAATTCCAGACAGACTGCTGGTCAAAGGTCATTTCCACCTCACATACTTTAAAAGATTTCTGAATTACCGCAGAGGAAAAGAAACATCACTCAGACACACCGGGGGATCAGTGGTTATATTCAAAACAGCAAACTACATACTATACTATTTCTGCAGTATAGCATACTTTATGTAAACTTTCAGTATGCATGCACTGTACAGTACTACAGATGACCTACTACATTTGCCACTTTACACTATATGTGCACTATATCAGAGTCCACTTTTTCCAGTGTGACAGGTGAACCAATTTGAACTACCATTTTGAACATCTCTTACTTTTTTAAGAGTTAAATTAACTTTTTTGATTAGATAATTTAACAGCCAAATGTACATTTTAAAATGCTTTTCATTAAATCATTTTCCCAAGATGATAACTGGCCAAATTAAACATGCAAATGTGAAGCGTTCATGTGACAAACATAGTGAAGTCATTTGACAATAACAGTAAAAAGTAGCATAGACTCTTTGAAGTGTTTTATGCATTAATATTCATGTATTTAAAAAAAAAAATCTGTATGTACTGTATTCCATTCTGAAAATAGCCAACCACTCAGACATTCATAGGGGAGGCAGAGCTAATATTATCATTTTATCCTTCAGTTGTCTGCTCGGGGCTATTTAAAGCTGCTGTGCATGCAAGCAAATGTGTGTGTGTGAAACAATTTTACTCCAACAGACAGACTCATTCATCTCTTCTGGATGCATGGCCTGAGAATAGAGAGAGATCAACTAACACTTACACACATTCTCCCGGAGCGTCACAGCTTCCGTGAAGCTCACTGCAGCCTTGCTTACAGATAGCTGAAAGACAGAGAAGTATGAATGAACTTTATTATATTCCTTCGCTCTCCCTTCATTGATACATGTGATTTACATTCAGAGACTGGTGACAGCACTAATAAGGTGTTCACACATATAATGATTTTATTGCTGGAGGTCACCCAGAGGTTGTTGTCAGGATTACGTTATGTTCATTGTGTTTTGGTTTTAGTTCCTGTACTGTTTCCTTTGTTCTCATTTTCCAGCCACTAGTTTGTTCCCATAGTTACTGATTTCATTCACCTGTTGTCTAATTTGTATCCTCATTACTCCCCATGTATTCAAGCCCTGAGTTTTCCTTAGTTATTTGTCTGTTATTGTAGATGTGCACGTAGTTGTGTTTGAGTAATTATTCCTGCTATGTCCTGAGATTTTCGGTTTGTGAATTATATTAAAGACAATTTTTTTCCTTGTACTTCTTTGTCGTTCGCTTCACTCAGCACCACAGCGTTACTGTTGTATTGTTGGATGTAGTTTTTACTCCTCAATACTGTAACTGGATTTAACTTAAATATTTGATTATAAATGTCAATTAACAATATAAAGTGTCAATTGAAAGAGATTTTGCTATATTGTTTACATTGTGGTATGTAAATATATCTTCACAACGTTCAGAGGGCAGAACTGCTTGAAGTTAATAATATGTTAATACATGGATGAATAATTAAATAAAGAGCATATGTTTGATATTACAAAGAGTTCAAGTCGCAAAAAAAGGATTCGTTTATATATCAATAAAGTTGGCATGAAATGAATGGTGCAATCGTCTGTTCTCTCCGATGACGTATACCCAAGTGAAACGCGTTCCTGAATGGAAAAAAAGTAGAGTAGAACTTGATTTTGAACTTGAATAAATATAACAAAATGTATTTTAAATACATTTATTTTATGCTAAGTATACTAAAAATACATTTACACATGTATGTACTTAAATACCCTGCAATTGTTCTTTTTGGTATACTAAATTGGTATACTTAAAGTCTGCAGAATTGGAACAAGGAATTTTGTACTTAATGCACTTTAGTTATCCAGAAATAGTGCTGAGATCCAACTAAAGATAAAGTATATTTGATTGTGCTAAAGTGGAACTATTGCAAGTATACTTTAGGTACACTTTAAATATCTTGCATTTACAGACTGATATTATACAAGGATCAAACTATCCTTACTAATAGTGATATTAAAACACATTTTAGGCTTAATATTAAGAAATGTGCATTCTGCAATTAAGAAGTACTGCAAATAAAGTTTAATTATAATATTTATATCAGTAAGTCTCAAGCGATATATCAGTAAATATGTTAATGGATTTGTAGTGTACTTAGTATGAAATAAATTTATTTTAAATAAATTTTGCTATAGGTTTTTTTCACTAGGGAAGAATTGATAATTGTTGGATTATTGTCGTTTGCTAATTGCTGTGATCTCATGTGAGTCACAGGTTGCTGGAGTGAAGGGATAATTGTTGTGTACTCACACGGAGAAGAGATGTTGTTGTGAAGGGGAGGGTAAGTTTATTAAGTTAAGATTATGAGGGTACGTGAATGAAACAATTGGGATGTGCACAGATAAATAATTTATAATAAACAATGCAATGTTCCATAAATAAAATAAAAAATTGTCAATTGGGATTTCAAGGTGACTTTAACGGAACACTGTTGCATTGCTGAACACGTCACACAACATCAACGGTTTCTGTCGCCAGCTTTCTTTCTCTCTGTATACATGTACCAAAATCAATATAGGCTACTGTATGTTTACTCATAAACATATGTATACACTTGCACACCTTTCTTGCAGTCTGGCCCATTCCAGCCGTCCATGCACTGCTGATTGCCCAAGTGATCGCATGTGTAATGGCCAAAGTAATCATCTCGGGGGCGACACTGTTTGTTGCACTTGTTGCCGTAGTAATAGCGGTCGCAGCGCACACGCACGCTGTACTTGATGCTGGCTGTTTGGCCCTTGTACTGAATGATCCGTCGCTCCTCTCCGGGGTTCATTTCTCCGCGATTTATACTCCTCTCGATTAACAGATCATCACCTGTGACAGAGACAAAAACATTGGTTTATATGTGTGTGTGTGTGTGTTAATTATGAAGCATGGTCGGTCTTCCTGCTTCAGTGGAACACACACACTTGTCTCAGACTGCTTGGGAGCCACTGAGGAAATAATACAATCAGGAACAAACCAGGAAGACCCCCCCCCCCCCCCCCCCCCCCCCCCCTCCCCTCCAAGAAAACACAAACACACCCAAACTTGCTCTCGAGAAGAGAAGAGAAACATGGTGACCTTGCGAACAACTACAGTCACAATGTAGCGGAGAGAAAAAGTGTGTGTGGGTGACTGGGTGTGTGGGAAAAAGACAAACAGCGTCTTAAAGAGCGAGAGAACACAACTTCAACAATGATTCAAATCTAATCTATGCTGTTCATGAAGGTGGGTGTTGGCTTGAGATTCTCACATTGCAGCACTTTCCATTCCATACAAGAAATTCACACCTGATTAAATTAGCAATATCATCGTCTAGGGACACGACAGGGATAGGGATATGGCTGAATCAGGGGGTGACATGATCATCAGAGGCCCAATCACTTACCTGAGGCCAGAGACTCATTTGCATATTACCAATGGGTGGTATGATACTGTCAATACTATTTTTCCTTGATAGACTAACATTTGTGAATTTAGGCATCTAAACATTAATGTACAGTTCGAAAAGACTGATTTTCATTTTGAGATATATCTTCATATTTGAGATATACATCTCAGAATTAAAATATCTTTAAACTGTACATTGTAATGCTGTGTTTAATGTAAAATAAATCATGATGTGCACAGATAAATCATTAAACACATAAGAATTATATTTTTCTAAAATTTGATTGCATTTGAAAAATGGTAGTATGTGTTTATATATGACAGCAATAAGATACTTTTATTGACGGCGAACTTTTGAATTTGTATATATATATTGAATTTGAATATTCTCCCACAGGAATGCAGAACATATTTGAAAAAGCCAAAGTAAATTGAGGATGTATCAGAGATAGCAGTGTTATTTCTGACAGGTCGTTATGTTTGACCGCTAGCCAAGGTGCTCTATAAATCGTCCTTGTGCACATTCCCTCACAAATCCTTCCCCACAGCCGAAATCACCCCACTCGCCCCATCTCAGTCCACTTGCTCTCTTCCTTAAATGGACACACGATTCCAGAAGTGGAACAAAAGCTATGACATACTTTCCTACTTTCTGACTAAAAAAAGGAATTTGTCAAGCTCTTTCATATCAAATGTGTCATCCCCCCTTTTTGCTGTACTCTCTTCCCCCTCTCTCTCTCCCCCCACTTATAAACCTAAAAAAAATAGTACTCATCTCCTAATTCATCTACAGCAATTAGTTATAAAAATACACACCAATCACTCCCTCTCTATAAGCTGAAGGAGACACTTAGAGACTGTTACTGGGTAGAGTCACAGTAGTGTGTGTGTGTGTGTGTGAGAGAGAGAGACACTCTAAAGATAAGCCAGCTCAAGAACACAGTCACACACGTGGATAAGAGCCCTAACTATCAAACAGGTAAGCAGGTGAACAGCTCTCCAAGTAATCAGTCGAGTTTATCCCGTGAGCTCAATCAACACTAGAACTTCAGCCTTGATCTGAGAGGCTCTCTTTAACTCAAAACAACAGCTTTAGATTAAGAAAAACCTCAGGAAATGCAGATGAGGGCTGCTGTTAGGCTTAGAAACAAAGCGTCTTTTCTTAGTTTCTTTTCTTTCCTATTATTTTCTTTCTGTCCTATTTACATCTCTCCATCAGTCTGTCTCCAGTTTGCTCTGTTTCACTGCCTCCAGCACAATGGGTGCGATTTGGCCCCTATTGCCACGGCCGATAACAGATCACAAACAATAGACCAAAGAATCGGACAAGGCCAAATAATGTCCCTTATAACTACACAACTCTCTCTCTCTCACACATTTCTAAGTTTTCCTCCATTATAATGTACCCCACCTTTCGTAACTTCCACTTCCTTTTTGCATTTTTTCACTTATCCACTTTATTACCATCTAGCGATCTACAGGCAAGCACTACAGTACAAGTGAAACACAATAACGCCCCTTTCTCTGCCCCTTGACGATACATGAACAATGCAGTTGACCTGCTGGCCAGAAAGAGCTGTTTAGAGTCCAAACGCAGAGCTGGAGAGACGGACTTCCTGAAAGGTAAACAGCCCCACAGGACCCTCTCCTCCAAAGGGCCTCCGCTACCTGATGCCCTGCAAACAGCAAAACCGGCTTCTTGCATTTAAAGCCAGACTTTTTTATTACTTCAAGGCCCGATTTACACCTTTGAGCTAAATAGACTTAGAAAAAACACCTGTAAAAAAAAAATCAACTGTGAGGCAGGTATAACACCATGATGACGAATTGATCTCTTGCTGACAGCAGATATATAGCCTATGTGTGGTGTCCAGGAAACAAAAACATTGATTTATATATATATATATATTTAAATGCCTTACCATTATTTCATCCAAAACAACAACAACATTAGCATGCAATTTTGCAAGACCTGTTTTGTACTTAAAGTGCCCTATTTTGTTCCTAGTTTCGTCTCCTACAATAGATTTACAAGTCAAAAAACACATTATTTTCCTCATAATACATTGCATATCTACGAAAGCGTATTGCATTCACTTGAGAAAAAAAATCTACTCTGTTTTTCTGAATTAACGAGTTAATTATCTCAGAATTACGAGATAATTTTTCATGGAAAAAAGTTTTTGCCCTGTTCGCTGCCCAGGACAGCGATTGCGAGCAAATTGTGTAAAAAAAAATGTTACAAAAAATAAAACTAAATATATAATTTATAATGAAATGTATGATTAAATAATTTATCAAATTAATTATTAAATAAAAACAATCAAATAACAATAATAATAATAATAATAAACAATCAATAATCAAATAATAATGTTAAAGATTAAGTAGTATTAATTTAATGTTAAAAATTATTAATTAAATTGTCTATGCATAGAAAATATGTTTGCAGATAATGGTAGTAAAACAAATGCCTTCAAGGAATTACAACCACATTGGGGCCCTAATATCCAAAATTCACCTTTACATGGTGTTTGAACATAAATGTGTGTCAGCATGTGTGTACACAACCACCCTATAATGGTAAAAATCCACCTACTCCTGTTTTTTAATCCCCATTAATCATAAACAGTGTCTCAGAACAAGCCGTTCGCAGTTTCTATGCAATGTGACATCACAAACGCTTAGGCCCCTCCCACGACTGACGGACTCCGCTCTATTAGCATAGACCCCGCCCTGAGTGAGCTGTACACAGTCCGCCATGTTTAACAGCAGCATTCAAGTAAGAAATGTATTCTTATTAAAGTTCCTAAGTTATTCAATCAAGAGCAGTGAGTGATTTTCTGTTTTTCTATTGTTGTTTGATTCATATTAACAGCATATTTAGCAGTAGCTTTCACTTACATACACAGATATAATATAGGCTACACATGCGATTTCTTTACTTGATGTTTACGTTCACAGACATAACTATGTTTATGTGAACTTTGTATGTTTTTGACAACCTTGTGTATTTAACCGTTTAAGCGCAATAACCCATGAAAGAGAACTTAGTTTAATACTCAGCAGCTCATTTGCATTTAAAGATACGGTATGTGCACGAAAACAGTATGTTTTTCCTTCCACTCAAAAGTGGGCATTTACAACATGGTATAATAAATTATCTGAGGGGTATTTTGAGCGGAAACTTCACAGACACATTCTGGGGACAACTGAGACTTATATTACGTCTTGTAAAAAGGTGCATAATAGGTCCCCTTTAACACTTTAATTATTTTTCACTCATCTGAATTACTCATCAGTAATTTGCTCCACTCGTAATGCATCAGGAACATTCGCAAACTCTCACTGCCTCTTTACCGGTTGATGTCTCAACATCAACATCTTGTCATCTGGATGATCATCAGAAAAAAATGCAGACTAGATCTTACTCATGGTCTGGCTGTGTGAGATCTAGTCTGTTTGAAATAAATGCCAAGCCAATGCCCTGCGCTAAGTTTCAGAGAGTCAGAAGACAATTGTCTGACAAAGTTGTGTATGTGAACATATCAGTGCCTTGTTAGTGTTGTGTGTATTTGTGAGAGTGAATAATCATGCCAGTCAGTAGCCCTTTGCTTTATGATTAATTATCGGTGGTGTATTTGTTTGTACGTGTGTGTCGTGTGTGTGAATAATAGCATTGCAGCTGCTCAGACAATAATTAGCTCAGACATGTGTGGAAAATAACGAGCAGCAGTAACAGTAATTAATGTCTTAACGAGGCGATGACCTCATACTATTTGTTTAGGCCCGAACTCTCTCCAGGGACTTTAAACATGACACGCGGAATATAAACAGTTTCCATTTGCATGCTAAAACGACCTCCCTTCCCCATTAAGGGCACTAGCACACTAGTAACAAACAGCCACACAAGATATTCATACACAAATAAACATAAACTAACATCTACAAATACTCAAATCTGCTGTAAAGTGTCTAGAAAGGTTTAAAACGATAACCTGTGCTTGAAGACTGAAGGAGACATGTGCTTATACTTTTATTCTCTTTTCTTATTCTCTTCTACTTTGCAGTTGAATAGACTTTGTTCTTAATAAATTAAATATAGGTTATCCAATTAGACATTATTAGATATAATGGATCAGGATTTGCTTATTATAGAGCAGTTCAGTTTTGCAATAACTTGTTTCTGACCAAACCACAGCCTCCAGTCATCACCACCGGTAACCTCCAGGTTAACCTATCTATAATCCTCATTTACAGTGACATTTAGCACTAACTGATGTCCACCTCCCTTGTTTTTTCCAAAAACACATAAAATAACAGTAATCTCCTGCATAAATACGCAAATCTCCAGTCCATCTCTGTAATGCTTAGCTTTTGGTGTTTTAATCAATCCAGTTAAACTTTTTAATTGCAAATCAGGGTTATACTACTTACAGCTAGCTAACTTTAATGCTAGTTATCGTTTACTTCACTTCTCATTGTGAAGACCACATTAGGTGAACAGCTTATTATGTTTTTTAAAATACACAGTAACAATCAAAAGTTTGGGTTCAGTAAGAGTTTTTATTTTAAATGTTTTTGAAAAAAATCTCACCAAAGCTGCATTTATTTTATCAAAAATACAGTAAAAACAGTAATGTTGTGAACTATTATTACAATTTCAAATAACTATTTTCCATTTTAATATTTTATTATATTTATTCCTGTGATAACAAAGCTGAATTTTCACACGGTCTTTCAGAAATAATTATAATATGCTGAAAAAACATTATTATTATTATTATTATTATTATTATCAATGTTGAAAACAGTTGTTCTGCTTAATATTTTTGTGGACCATGATACATATTAAAGAATAGAAAGTTCAAAGTAAACAACACTTATTTGAAGTCTTTTATAACATTATTGTCTTTAATATCACTTCTGATTAATTTGATGCATGAAAAGCATTGATTTCTTTAAAAACAAATCCTACTGACCCCAAACATTTGAAAGGTAGTGTATCTTAATTTCTTCAAAGTAATTAATTAACTGAAATTTTTGAGAGTATTTAGCGTGTTAGGGTTTATATAATGCATTGCTTGTAAATGATCATCCAACACAGAGAACATGAATTCCTTCGTTAATGGTACTTCCTGTCAGAGTCATCCTCTATTATGGAGCAAAGGAGAACCACAGGAGGAGGAGAGGAAAACAGGACACATCTGTGTATGACAACACACACACACACACACACACATCAACATTCACACCATGTGTTAACATGTCCTTTGCACTGGGTTCCCATACCATGACAGTTGACTAGTGCTTTCTGATAAAAAAAATAAAAAAAATCCAGTAAATTAGTCTCTCCTACAATAATAAATGCAGAGTTAACAAGGCCCAGATGGAATCTGCTGATATTCAAAGTTTTCTTGTTTTCTGTTACTGTCATAGCATTTGATTTACTCTCATGTGTCACACCTGTGTTTAATCAATTACCTCATTTTACCCATGTTTTTCATTGAAATACACCTTTTTGCGATGAGATCCATCTCATTATTTTTGTTTTGCTTCAACCATTCGCTGACAAGTTGTTTATGTATGATTCTTTTTAATGAGAAAAAATGACAGTGGACTTTTAAACTTATGGTGTCTATAATGGAGACCTTTACTTTTTAAAATAATGTAGATCAAATTAGCCAAAATATTTAAACGTGAGAATGTAGAGAGGGTATATTTGGAATTTAGGGAATGATGGGCGTTCGGATTCTGCAGAAACCTGTGTAATTTTCTGCTGAGTTCTGTGCATGCACATTCTTCATGGGCCTGCGGGTACCCCTTAATGGTTCAAAGACACATCAGACCACAGGAACCAGCTTAATACTCTGATCGACCACCCTGTCCACCTGCTTTTTTTATTACAGTTTTTCTCAGTCGCTTTGGTGCTTTTCTCAGATCACATTTGAAATTCTCAAAACTACTTCTTCAACCTCTACATCATCTAGTCAATTGTGCACATCGTAAAAGCAATTTCTCATTCTTTTGAACAAATTGCAAATGGTACACTCGTGCAATTTATTATGTACAACTTATTATGTCTGCTGTTTCCTACATTAATTATCAATTGCTTATGTCATGTTGATCAAAACGACACTGATATGCCATTTCAACAGATTTGGCAAGCGATCCAGTGTTTGCGCTCTGGAGAGTGTCAAAGATTTCTATTAACAATGTGTTTTTGCAACGTTGAGCAATGTAACCAATCACAAACATATCTGTTGATTTCTTGAATGCAATGGCCAATCAGAGGCTGGAGTTTTTGTTCAGAGCTGAGTTCTGCAAACTCACAAAATCTTCTTATTATAACAAAGTGTAGACATTATGTAAATAAGAGATTAATTGTGCAGTCAGCTTCATTGATTATAATGGAACTTTGTGAGATCACAATTAACTAAAATAAGTGGCAGCTTTTTAGTGATTATAAAGGGAGCGCTATTTGCATGCTTTCTGCCATGTCAAAACCCGCAGTATGCTTTTTTTCCTAACAGTGGTTTCTGAACATAGATGCTTTAAAAATAAACAATTTATCAGGAGCATTTATGCTGAGATGTGTAGGTTGTGCGGCAACATGTAACTTGAAACCATTTCATAGTAATCTATTTAAATATGTTTTAAAGTGGAAGCACATCTCCTTAGTCTTACCCTGGAGTTGGTTCACCCTCCGCCTATGAATCTGTCTGAGAAAGACTTACAGGTAATTTAATATTCACTTAAAGCACAACATACTGCAAAACCCAAGCTAATTCAAGAATGTTCAGTCAAATGTCAAAGCCAGCCTGCACAAATCTGACTTTCTGTGTCATTTGTGGATGTAAACATGTTCAAGAGAGGGACTGCAGGTCGTGATGGCTTAAAGATCGTGTACGCAGTAATGCATGGTGGTGTGTGTCAAGGTGTTGGGAAATCATTACTCACTGCTGTCAGTGATCGTTTGGTTGTCCCAGTCCCAAGCCTCCACGATCAAAGTGTACGCTAGCTAGGAGATAGAGAGAAAGAGCTGGTTAGCTAATATACACAGACATATAGGTCTCCACAGTCAAAGTCTATGCAAAAGACAAACAAAAAATATCAATGAAATAATATGTAGTCCAAAAAACAAATAAACAAAAAACTATGGCACAAGAAGCACAGACATACACAGTACTTATTAGTCTGCCTACAGAGGCAAAGTAAAAGAAAGACTGACTCACAACCATCCAAAAGTTCAATGTTTATGTATTCACATTAACCTCACAAAACAGAAGGGCATCCAAAAACATCCTCAAAGAAGAAAAAAAGAAAGAAAATATTCAAGTATAATAATATCTAGGGATTTTTTTTTCTATTACTCTAGTCTAGGGATATGGTTAGTTTGTAGCCATTATAAAACAATAGCAATTTATTTTATGCCCTCATTTAAATAGCATGTGAATATGTGTGTGTACCTTTTTAACAGGATGCAAGTCATAATAGCAATGTGAATAACCTGGTTCCCACAGTCTGGTGACTGATTAGCCCGGTTATAAACCAGATGAACGATGAGATGGTGTAAGGACTTTTGTATGAGTGTGCATCAGGTCACTGCCGCAGTCAACAAATTCATAAATGATTGTGTGATGTTTATGCATGCATGTTTTTTCTACACTGCACATGCTTCAACAATGTTCTTTAGTTCATTTATTGCGTGGGAAAATGTTTTGCTAAGTCAAGTCGATTAACAACATGACTTCAAAAGGTTCCTGAACCAGCAGTATTTTACTGTGAGGTGAGGGAGAGGTCATGTTCTTTCTCAAATTAGGGGTAGTAGCGTTTCTTTCCTTTAATCTGACAGAACTAGAGTGCTTTTGGAATTACAAACACTGTCCTGGATGGAAATTTCAGGAAATGTCTGAAACATTGGAAAGAAATCTCTAGCACAGACAGAAGACAGAATAGCATGCGTGTAATACGCTTCTGTAGAACCCCTTAACTGTCACCATCCCGCTAGCGTGACGCTTGGCGCTCTTTTTATTTATTGCCTTTTTTTCGTATCACATATTTTAGTAATCATCATAAATTAGGTATAGGTCGAAAGCTTACGAACTCAAAATTCATCCTGTGAAAACCATTTTGAAATTGGAGATTGAGTTACCATGGAAATTGTACTTTAAAGCTGCAGTCCGCAGTTTTTCCTCTTTGTCGCCATCTCTGTTCGAAATCTGCAATTGCAGTCATTCGCGGAATTATCAACTTTACGTGAGTTGTACTTCGACACGGCACAGCGCGGATGAATCCAATGTTTGAGGAGAATGTGAGGCTGTCAGTCACCGCGCCGGTGTGGATACTGTCATTCAGAATCACAGATTCTACTTTTTGGAAGTATGACCAACATAATAATTTTCACCCTAAAATGTCACCTGAACAAGTAAGTAACATCCACTTTTGTTCTTCTGACCAACTAACTGAAAAAAAGCATTGCAGTAAATCGCGCTGATTAAATCTAACGATCGTTTATCATATCACGTCAAACCGTGCAAATTATACTTTGTTCTCAAATTATTTATGTTAACAACATCAGCATTGCGTGACTACATTTAAAGCCATTCAGATATTTATCCTTGTTTTCGCATGGCCCCGGTTGCAGTCTCTTTTTCCAAACTCTCAGTCCGAAGTCTTTTGCATTTTACAACGGGTGAATCTCTAGTTATCACTGGTGATTGTCGTTTGAACCTTTCTGGATCCGCCATCAAATTGATAAGTTTAATTATATCAAGTGCTGTGAGAAAAGGCTATAAATCTCCACCTGCAAAATCCTCACGCAATATAGCCTACTAGCCGAGACTCCTTCTTTATGTGACGTAATGACGCAAAGACATGCTTGAATTTCTTGAGTACCACTGGAATTAAAAACATTATTACAAGCTTACCGTTTTGAATCGAGCTAAAGCAAGCAGATAGTTTTGAACACTGGCTGGTTATGTACTTGCTCAAAAATTTATTTTGGATAATTTAAAAAAGTTACGGACTGGAGCTTTAAATTATTTTAACAGGCTTCTCCCCTAGTGGGCGGTGTCAGGTTTCATATTACAAAATTAATTTTAACTACTTTATAATCAAAACCTTTTCTAATCTTGACAAAACACTGAGTCTCAGGGCTAAAAAATATATATTTTATATAAAATAAAAAATGTTTACTACAGTAGCCTACATTTGATTTACAGTCAATTTAAACTTCCATAACTTATTCATTCTTTCATTTTTTTGCTTTCACTTCAGCAATAATCTGATGAGTGTCTTCTTTAAAACAAGATCAAACTTAGGCCTATATGTTCCAAAGCATTCTTGGTATTCAACCATAGTGCATTTTCACGTCTATTCCCAAAAAGGGGGGTGACAGTTAAGGGGTCTGTCCAAATGTCTTGCAATTGGTTTATAATCACAGATTTCCAATACTTTGAGACAGAAAATGCAAGGAAACAGCTTTTTAAGTTTCAAAGCCACTGTTGAAAACCTTTATGAAGAGGTGTTTTTAGCAGATCTATGTTTTGCAGAGAAGATTACTTTTTTTGGTTTGGGCAGAGATCAGGTTTACTGCAGCAGCACGGCATGAGAAACATGCCCATGGATTTTGTGTGCTGACACTCATGCATCTTTTCTCTGGAAGCATGAATCAGCACGCTAACATCAGTGAAGCCAAACCACTCAAACTTGTAGGTGCATGCAGTAAATGGTAAGAAGGAAAGACTCATGCAGGCATGGCTTCAAACCTTTCACTAAACCTCTAAGCAAAATTCACAAATCTTACAAATCCTTTGTTCTTTTTGGCATTTCGTTGACATTTATATGTGTACACTTTTACTTGTATATACTGTAGACAGGCTACAACAGATACGTAAAGTATGCAAAACTAAAATGATGGTAGAGATTGAAGGATGTTCATTAAGAAAAAATTTAACATTGTAAATGGTCAAAAACTACTGGTCATCTACAAAACACCATCCCCATCTTAATATAAAAAATATGACCAAGTCCTGTTATATAAACCTAAGAGTGTGGCAGTAATTATTGCTCCAGAAATGCCATCACTCTTGTCTTGTTGGGTTCTGCCACTTGTTTTCATCAGTTTTTTTCAAATACTTTTTTCCTTTTTAAACATGCACTTCACTACGTGACTCTCTGTTTGTCAAAGTGTCCAATCTGTTTTGAAACACAATCTTTCTCTTCTATCTGCTGCTCTGTGTCTGTGTATGTTTGTGAATGGCCCCCTTAAAATGTAAGTAGCCAGTAAGACAATAAGACAATAACATTGACATAATTTCAACGTCTTAGAGAAATGAGTGAAAGGTACAGGGCTACGCTTTTAAAAACCTCCAGAAAAATATTGATCTTCTAAGTTTTGTTTCTCTAAAATATTTCCAAGTTCATTCCATTTAGCCTGGAGCTTTTTGCGATCATCACATCCTGCTGAAAACTTCAAACAGACTCCATTCTTGACTTTTTGATTTATTGATAATTACACTTCAATATTTTTGTGGAAACCCTGATACACTTTTTAAGAATTTTTTGATGAATTTTCAAAAGAACAGCATTTATTTGAAATGTAAATATTATGCAACATTATAAAATGTCTTTTTTCTTTTGATCAAAACGTGTTAACACTGTCATAATCATCTTACAAAATAAAATGAACATTTGTGTATGCAGTACTGCCATATTAATTTATTTATATGGGAACTGGGAAGGACAGAGAAAATAGTTTTTTTTTTACTTATCTTTGGTTGAAGTTACAGTAACATAATATTGTATTTTTGTTTAATGCTTAATTAATTTTTGTCACAAAATTTTTTGTTTGACATGGAAACAATAATTGGCGGACCCCCTGTAGTACTGCTACAGACCCCCTAGGAATTGCATACTGCTTTATAATATCCAGAATAAGATCCAAACCCCATTAAATGTGTAAGGATGTTGAGGAATCAGTGTCAGCACACTAAAGAAAGGGAAAGGTTTTTTGTAGCATTAGTTTGCAGCATGAGCATATTAATGTAAGCACCTGGTCAGTGGCGTAACACAGTTACTAATCTCCATAGACAGCCATCAGACACCAACCACCAGTCTAGGGAGGAGCAGGAGAGGGGAAGATTTTATCTTTCCTTAGTTAGAGGGAAATAAGACACCCACATGCATATACACATGCCAGCAGATACACAGGAACACACGCACACACAGGCAATGAATAAATTACACTTCCTAAGTGACACTGAGCAGGCAGTGCCACAGTTTTTACACATCAGAGGACAGTGAGGGGGACGTACTGTACTGTATATTGCAAGAGTCCAGCCTGAATGTGTCTTTCATTAACATTCATTGCGTGGGAAACATTCGCACCAGGTGTGAACACATCGGTCTATAAGGATTCAGGTCAAATGCAAATCAATGCACAATAACACACCGACACACACACACACCGACACACATACACACACACACACACACACACACACACACACACGCACACACACACACACACACACACACACACACACACACACACACACACACACACACACACACACACACACACACACACACACACACACACACACACACACACACACACACACACACACACACACACACACACACACACACAGGAACTGTTCCACCTAAAAGCTGAATGTGATATGTGCAGGTTGGTAACACACCTGTGTTCTAAATTCACTTCATACCCAATGTGCTTGGGTTTCCATGGCACAGAATTAACAATGCAATTCTATTGTGTGCAATTTTCAATGAAAGAGGTGGTAGTTATTTTTTAGCAATGAGCCAAGTTAAGCTGTGTATTTTGATTTTACTATGGTGTGATCTTACCTTCTAAAAGGAATTTATCACTGAAAAATAAAACTGTGCGCTGTCAACCGCAAAAAAAATGGCCATTTTATTGACATTTAGATGTACATTTTTACATGTATACACAAGCTACAACCGATACTTAAAGTATGCAAAACTCTTCAGAAAACATTTTCCATGCATGTCAGGGGTAACGGTGGTAGAGATTGAAGGTTGTAAATAGATCTAAATTGTAATGGCAGATAACTACTGGGCAACTACAAAATATCATCACTATCTTATTATAAAATATATTATCGAGCCCTGATATAAACTTAAAGAGTGTGTCAGTAATATTGCACGAGAAATGCCATAATACTTGTTTTGTTAAGATCTGCCATTCTGTCTAAAACCTTTTTTAAACCGTTTTCCCTATATATAGGTGTCTCTCTGTGTGTGAACTGTGACATCATTTCAATATCTTAGAAAAATGAGGAAACTAATCAGAACATTGTGCTGTATGGGGCTGTATGGGGCTATGCTTTTAAAATGGGCAAAAAAACACCTTAAAAGTCTATTGCAATTCTCTAGAAGATCTATCACAATTTTATCTTTAATTAGGCAATTATTGTATGTTTAAAAAGCCACTTTAAAGGGCATGTGTACATAACAAGAACATTGACAGCTCTCACCAAATGCAGTGATCCAGTGGTTTTTCACTACTTACAAAACAGATTTACCAGGTTTAAAAGAAAAGAAAAAAAACTATAGACAGATAGATTATAGATAGATAGATAGATAGATAGATAGATAGATAGATAGATAGATAGATAGATAGATAGATAGATAGATAGATAGATAGATAGATAGATAGATAGATAGATAGATAGATAGATAGATAGATAGATATTTGCATGATACAATCAACTGTAGCAACATGAAACTAAAACAAAGTGCAAGATTCCGAATCAGCCCAGAAAGGAACACGTGTGCATTACAGTAATAGGTCTGATAGTCAAATATCAACTGTTATCAGTCCTGTAACCAGCAGACGACATCAGAGTCCAGAAGAAGAACACAATGCAGGTTTGCATCAAACACCTGCTCTAACGCTCAGCCAACTACAGAGCACTCAGAAAATAGGAGAAAGAAACAGTCGTGAAACAAGAGACCCAACACTCATCCAAGATTTAAAGAAAGCAGGATGGGGTGAAAGGAGGACAGGAAAGGTCTGAAAATAAAAAGTAGAGGAGATCCAGCATTTAGTCATGCAGGCCCTCATAACGGCTTTTGCTGTCAAGAATGATAGAATCAAGTTTGTTTTGTCACTAGCAGAGGGATGCTTACTCTTTCAGTAAAACGTTCAATGCAGCTTCTTGGCAGGTCCACATTTATGAGATATAAAACAGAGACATAAATGATAAAGACACAGTAATTTAAGTGGCCTGACCCCCATATCTCAAAACAACCATACACTGACTGCTTTTAAAAGAGCTAATGTTATATTTGGTAAAGATATATTGTTATTGTGCATTCCTGTTTGGTTTGTAAAAAGATCTCTTTTCCTGACTGTGTATTCGGGGTTTAGATCGAAGACTGAAAACATCCTAATCGTAAAACAGAACATGAACTTGGGGAGCTCTTACTTGGAAAAGCTTAAATAATAATAAATAAATAAAAATGGTGGTATGTGTGTGTGTGTGTGCTCAGTGGGACAAGATTTTTTTTTTAATCCAAAAACAAAAGATGGTATGCTGGAAGAGAATCAAAGATCTCACAGCTGTAGGACGTCAAGCACAGCACTTATAAGGCCCATAAACATCACCTTCCGTAAACTGCGTCCCTCCCCTTGGCACACCAGATTTGCTAAGAAACTATGGACAATGGCAGATGCAAGTGTCTTGGCAGATTTCAAATCAGTTGATGTTGATCTACATAACAATGATGATGTGCCGAGTGCGTTGATGCAACTGTATCAAACGATATATTGTGTGCCATCATTCCTATTCGTTGTTGAATAATTTGTAAGGACCTAAAGGCAGACAAGCTGCAGAGAAGAACATTATGGGAGGATTATTCCCATTAGCAAGTGTTTATTTTTGTGGTTTGCCAGTTCCAGAAATAACTATAAAACATCACAGCAGGAGGATTTCCTTCCTATTATGGGCTGTCTTCGCCAGAGTTGTTAACACAAGACTGCAGACTTCACAGACTTCAACAGTTACAGCAGAGAAGAGTCTTCAAATGTGCACCAGCTGAATGTGAAATCAGTTGCTCAAATGACTGCTGAAACCGCACTTATAGACCTATTCGTAAGCAGGTGACCAGATAATGGTTCTCAGACACAGCTTACACCTAAAACTAAACCTATAGACTCAAAAGGTTGAATTTGTCCCCTGTGATACAGTCCTAAATTGAATAGAAAAAAGCATGTTATATGGTGATTGGAAAAACACAGATGTTCTAACTTGTGAGCATGCTACAGTTAGAATGAGATACAACAATAGATGAATAGCTAGATGATAGATGATAGATGGATAGATGAATAGATGGATATCTCAATTTTATCTTCAATTAGGCAATTATTGTATGTTTAAAAAGCCACTTTAAAGGGCATGTGTACATTACATAAGAACACTGACAGCTCTCACTAAATGCAGTGATCCAGTGGTTTCCACTACTTACAAAACAGATTTACCAGGTTTAAAAAAAACAACCTCACACTGGTGTAAGGTCTGTGTGGTTTGAGTTAAATGTTTTACCCACAGTAATGTGCCTTGCGTTATCTTACAAACTATCTGTTCTGGTCTATTTAGCGACAATGCCGCTATCTGAAACATGATCGTGTAGACAACTCCCACTGCCTCTCTCTTTCTCTTCTCTATCCCTTGGGTTGTGATATCAATCCATGAGCATGCCAGCTCTAGTCAAGAACTCAGTCTTGTGTAAATCGTGCCTTTCTTAAAAAAAAGTGTAATCTAATTTTTGCCCAAAACAGCATTCTTGAGCGCTCACGCGACTGTTGCCCTTCATCATATCTTATGATTCTTTCACTAAGAAAAGAAAAATATGCTGCCAAGATGTGTTTTATTGAAAAGGCTGGCATGTTCCTTTACAGTAAAATCAACTGTAGCAAATTTTGTTGTAAATGCACATTTTTGTAGACCCCCTGCTGAAAAAAAAGAGAATAAACTTAAGGCAGCCTAGATAGATCGATGGATGGATATAGATAGATAGATAGATAGATAGATAGATAGATAGATAGATAGATAGATAGATAGATAGATAGATAGATAGATAGATAGATAGATAGATGGTCTTCATGCATGGTCTTCTTGCAGCCCCGTGAAGTAAAACATACGTCCTATAAATACAACACCATCAGTTACGCGTGTAACTGTATGCTCAGCGCGCGCGAGAGACACGCACCAGCCGCCGCTCGCGCAGCCAAACGCGCGCCGTAACCGGATAAGCCCTACTCATCATCTCTACGATTAACGCCAGTGACCACGGTGACACCAAGCTCTCCTCTTTCCACCGAGTCAAACATTTGCTTTGCAATGAGTGTTTAATGCGCAGGCTACCAGTTGGTGTTGTTAAGACCAAACATGTTTCACTTGAGCGTCTTGGCCATCTGCTGTAAATTCATGGAACATGGTAGCTGGTTTTTAACTGGTCTAAACTGGTCGTTAGCCAGTGCAAGGTAAGTAGATCCTGTTGGACCATCAATAAACAAGCTTCCAGCTGGTTATATAATCTTGATGTGGTCAAGTTTATAGCTTAGCCAACCTAAATACCTAATAACCATTTAAACCAGCGATATTTTCACATATAGCCAACCATCTTAAGGTGGATAATATGCAAAAGCAATATATTGCATTGTGAAAAAACCTGTAATATATATATTAGCCTACTTATGATTTGATACTCACAAAATGTCATGTTAAAAGCCTATCATGTGTTTTCAATTCCAATATGAACACCTTTATATGCCTACTGTAAAATATTCAACCTTTTTTCTGACACCGTTGGACAGACTACTGAAGAAAATTCAAGTTTAAACTCTGAAAGTTCACAAAATCGAGCATATTTTTTTAACAGTCTATATAAAGTATTACATTATACATCATCATATAGCCTATGTAGAAAGTGTTCACAAAAAATTGTTTGTTTTGTTGAGATCGTATCGGTAAACACCTACCGGCCAAGCGAATTGAAAGGGGATGATAACGGTCCCGAGGTCATTGGCCTTGTTTGGGTTTCCATTGAATCCTTTCAACTGAAATGTATTCCCTCCGACCACGCTCGAGCGTCCAGTGCCGTACGTACATAAGCCAGATGTGGTGACCTCCACCTGGTATTCCTTTAGACACACTCTCAAGTACGTGTCACATTCGTCCAGGTCACACAGACCGTCTCGTGCGCTCCGCGCGCCGTCACAGCAGTTTCCATTCGCGAGCTCACCCATGTCATTCTCCACGCTGATCAACTGGAGCTCTAAATAACCCGACGACTGGCACACCTAAAAATAACATAAACAGTAGTTAAAATATAAATTGCAAACATTATTGCACAGAATAATGTGTCTTGTTCCTAATAATAAAACAGCACATGCTTTATTATAAAATAATATATAGTAGCCGACGTCTATTGACTTGAAATTATTTTATGGTTCAGGTATTGCAGAAATACCAATGCACTCGCAGCAAACGTCAATAAACAGGCTCGTGCAATAATGAAATATGCACTTTAAATCCTTTACCGTAAATGTATGCAATGCTTAAAGTTTCAAAGTTGGTGCATTACAGTGTACGCGGACTTGTTTTAAAACGCTTTAAACTTTGAGGATCACATGATTCCACTGACAGAAGGATAATTCTATTAGGACAAGAATCCCAAAATCTAATTTGACAAAAATGAATGAGTTTCAGTTCAATGTAAAGCGGCTGTTTAATCGATGGACTTTACAGACAGTGAAGGAAAAAGTGGACTTAAAAAGGCTTAAGGAAATGGAACTCACCTCAGTCCAAAATGCGAAAATTAGCAACACTATTGAGAAACAAGCTCCAAAATAGTTATGCATGACTCCTATGAAGTTAATACGACATGGTTAAAAAAAGAAAACCAATAAATGCATCGGCCACAAAAATCCAGCCATACAAAGTGATTCGTTTCTCCGCAAGACCTCCAGAAGATGAGATGAAAGTCACACACATACATCCACTCAGTTCTCCAGCGCGCTGCTCTCACTATATCAGTTAACTACTAGACGTCTGAACGGATTTGACTGACAGTTCAATAAACCATTGGCAAGTCATCAGCTGTAGTAGAACGTCTGCGGCAGCCAATCGCATAGTCAGAGGGCGGGGCCTCCCTATAAATTATAGATCTGACAGGATTATTGACTTAGTTTGGAGAGTAAAAGAAAAAAGATTTTGAGATTTTAAAGATTTTTCAAACAAGTACTGTTATCATTTAATCAATTTAAATCTTTCACAAAAGGAATAACTTTCCATTCTATATTTTTTGACAATTGAATGGTTATATAATTACTGGTAAAAGTATGGTGATCCTTTTTTTTTTCTTTTTTGTAAAAATGTTCTCTGCTTGAACTCTTTCACAATCCAAATTGACACCCGTGTCAAGGCGCAGTTAAATGTTTTTGGGTAAAAGATACAGAGCGCCCTCTAGTGATAGATCACTGGCGAATTATATTATACCCGGTTGCCCTCTAAAAAAAAAGAAGAAGAAAAAAAAGAGTTCACCCTTTGGCCTCATGCAGTCCTGGCTTCTTCTTTTTTTTGTAAGTTGTACGTTTTTTAATTCCCTCACAAATAGGATAGGCCTACATGTTGAAAAACATCTTGTGAGGATATTTGAAGTAATAATCACAATTTGAAAGGCTTGTTAAACAGCCAAATCATGTTTTTGTATGTGCGTGAGGTTCACTAATAGGCCTATATACCAACATGTCTGTTTGTTTGCGTTCAACATTCAGTACTTGCATTTCACTCTGATATCTCTTTATTATTTTATCAGGCACAAAATTATTATTATTATTTTTTTGGTCAAAGGCTTCCCAACCCTCAGCTGTGATGCTAGACCTGAACCTTTGCGCTTAGTCTGTTAGTAATAGACTAAACGAGATGATATCACAAATTTGCTGTATGGTTGTGTCACATCCTACTATTTGTTAATCTTTCTCTCTCTTTCTCTGCTCTCTCTCTTTAGGAAATGGGTGACGCTGTAGTCCTAATCTTGCCGTCAGACTCCATCCTGCGTTCTTCTACTGCCGGTCCAGAGTAAAGGAATAAAGAAAGGAAGTCAGCCCGAGAGCTACATGCAGAGGAATTAGATGTGAACAATGCCCGCTGCAGTCTGAGGATGTGACACACTGCAGCTCTGATAGAAAGAAAGGCACCTGCATTCTGTTACATTCACAGAACATGTACATATTTGGGAAGGGGGTGGGAAACTGAAATAGTTCTGTTTTGCAGTGGATGCACATGGAATGATATCTACAGGGTTCTGAGGGTATGACTAATTGAAAGACTTGTTGTTGTATTCGTTGTCATTGTTGCTCTGAAGTTTGGCCTGCGGTCAAAAGTGCAATTGTAGTTTTGATGCAGTGTTGTTGATTGATTTGTTTAGTTGCAGGATGATATAAAAGATTAAAGCTTAGTCTGTTGATATAAGAGATTACCTCACATGCAAAATCACATTCATACATGCAGTGGCCCTAAATATTATTTTAAGCATATCTTAAGTGGCCAAATATACGAGATACCATATGCATTTAGTCTATCTGCATCTTGTTCTCTCTGCTTCCTCTAGAAGATGCAGAGAGAAACAGAAGTGCTGAAGAGTTAGCGAGCAGGTGTGTCATTGGGAGGTGTGAAATTCTGTCTCAGGTTTATAAATGTCAGTGATGGAGTGTGAGAGTGCTTAACCTCTGACCTCAAGGCAGACTTCTATTACAGCTAATGCAGATTCCCTCAGTGTTTGCACTCTACACCTCTTTTATGGTCACTGAAGGGGTGCGACATGCCAATGGGCTGACCTGAATATGTCATCTTCAGAAGAGGCATCTTACAGCTCACCTCAGTTTGCCCTGTTCTGATTGATCTCTGGAACCCAATTGCAGATTTTTTTTTTTACTCTTTAGTTTTACATTTTCTTTTAAATCATATGAATGAAGATTTCATTTCGGCACCAAAAACAAACAATTAAATGGCCTGCAATGTGGTGTACAGGCTGTATGCCAGGTTTGTCCTTTTTGGAGCTTGACAGCCCCTGGTCCCCATTTGCTTTTAATGAATGGAGGTTTGTTCAACATTTTACGTTCCACTGAAGACAGAAAGTCAAAACATCCTTTTAAAAATGAGTTGAAGCATCATTATGGAAGTATCATAGAAATATATCTGTAGGATTTCAGAGAGAGAATTGGCAAACAATCCACTTCTAAACTTTGATACATCTTGTTAGCATCATTTTATGGTGATGGTTATTTCTGCGACTAGTGGCACCAAACCAAATTGTTAAGACAAACAGTTTCCACCCCAAACTTCAGTATTGAGCTAGTGTTATGTCTGCCTTGCAGGGCGCTCAGACTGCAATTCTGTTTAGTGCCACTAGTGACAAAAATGACTACACCTTCAATTTAAAAAAACTGAAATAAATTGAAATAATGTCTGACCGTTGAACTGAAAGTTGTTTATTTTCTAGCCTGAGACTGTAAACCGCTGGTAATTAGACAGCTATGTGACCCCACCACATAGGCCAGTTTTTGAAGCCCAGCTGTGGTTTTGATCCAGGCTTCTGGGAATAGATGCCAGGCAACGTTTAGGTCTGCGGCCCACGAGGGTTAACCTCAGGCGGGTATGTGCGTGCCTAGCAGTGGGTGGGTATGTAAAGGATGGAGCTGTTATCAGCTCAGTCAGCTGTGCCAATCATTCATTGCATTAGAGTGCTGGAAGAGAGGGAGGAGTACACACACACATACACACGCACACACAATGAGACATTGTGTTGCTTATATACAGTGCTGAATAGAAGGAGATAGGCAGGGCTGGTTGAGCATGGATTATGTGTTTCTCAGAGAAGTCCCTTGTGTGTAACTCTGACCTTTACACATGAGAATATTCTCTATTGTGTGTTTTTGAGGGGTGGGGGTACATACAACAGTCCTCAAGTTTGACTGAATTTAATTTCGTATGAATTAGTACAATGTGATTTATATGGAAACATGATTTTTAGAAAAAAAAATGTAAGCATGAAAGTCCACCCCTAAACCTACCCATCAATGGGGTGTAAGCAGTTTGTATGAAAAAAAATATGAATGAGATTGTACAAACTTATACAAATTAGCCGCCAATTTGCCAAATTGTAAAATAGTTATGAATTGCCATGAGAGTGTGTTGCAATATCACACTCACAATCATGTTGTTGGTACAAATATCATGTATATTTGGGATATAGCCTGCATATTTTAAAGATCCATAAAACTTTATGTACAGAATTAAGTTCCTCTTCAGCCTTGCTGTGTATTTAAAAGCAATGCTTTCACTTGTTACCTGGTGTTTAAACATGTTTTCCTCTCTTGTTAAGACTTGTTAAGATTTTTTAATGACTTCTTTTGCTCTCCTCCAAGTTCTCGTGTTTTTTCGAAGTATAGGAACAAGGGAACTGTTCTTGGGGAGGGAAAGATCCTGTGCAATTGTGTTTTACACAGAGGTATTTTTTTGTATGAGGTAACATTTCCTACAATAGTGAGAGAATGAGAGAAAAAAGTGAGGAGAACAGGGTTGAGAGACTTTATTGTTGAGAAATCTGTCAAAGGTACTGCGTGATGCAGGGGATTCGAGGGGAATTCCACAGACGTTCCAGTCTGTCCCAAGCACTTCACAGCTCAGTTTAGCAGCACAGGAAAAACACACATCATGACTCAAGGTCATATCACTCTCCCTCTTCCACGGTAAATCTACCTGTACAATCCCATGCCAAATCACATTCCAAGTTTTTGCATGAATGATACAAATTCCTGAACCTTGACACGATGTTGGAGGGAAAACCTTTATATGTGGGACAATAATTCCCACCTTTCATGTGCAGGATTCTGGTATTGATTTTCCAAGAAACGGAGACAGAAAGCATTAAAGAGGAGGAAAGTCTGGCCTCTACATGTCAAGGAGACTACAAAGTGCACACTCACATTTGTCTCTATGCCAAAAATAATGCCTGGGCAGATCTTATCAATCAAAGCAGAACTGAACTCTATAGTCAAACAAGAGAAGATGAGAATGGCTCTTATCTTTGTTTACTGTAAGCACAGAACACTCCAGAGTTCTCCGAGGGCTCTTTGTGACATTACAGCTCCGGGTTCTGGATTCGGTTCTAAATGGAGTCAACTTTGTTGACAGTTAAGAGTTTAAAGAGCCTGATCTGTTTGTCTTTGACGCCTCAGATCTTTGGCGCTGCTCAGATTCACGGTGGTTTGTATTTCAGAAGCTCCCTGGAGGATAAACACATTGGTCTGTGATTGATAATTTTCTAATTGTTCTCATATGAACTGATAATGCGTCTACTTAGTGATGTCATGCCAAAAGAGCGTTGTGATGTCATGATCGAAATAACCCCATACCATGAAATAATCTGTATTCTGTGCTTCCAACTTTGTTGCAGAAGTTAGGGGAGGTTTCATCTCTTTTCTCCCTGTGCACCAATCGTGGCCTATAAAGAAATGAGTTACTGAAACTGCCGTGAAAGAACTTTTTAAAGCTCAGACCTGAAGCCTGGTGAACAGTGTGAACCAGGCCTTATCGCCCAACATCACTGCTTAAGCTACCTAGATGCTCTTGTGTCTAAATGGTAGCAAAACCCACAGCTGTGTTCCGACTTGCAGTAAAAAGCCTCCCCAGAAGTGAGGAAGCTGTTATAGCAGAAACATTATGGTTTTGAAAGAAAATATTCAGCAAGCATATATGGGTGTGGTTTCAGGAGTCTACATACTTTCATATACTGGAAAACACATCGATGTTTTGATATAAATATCGTGAGCGCATCATTCAGTCAGAATATTTAACATGTGCCTTGCTTTATCACACAGAGTTTAATACAAAAACATGTTGTAACTATTGCTGTTTAAAATTAGGTAATTTGTTGCTACATCTCTTGTTCTATTTTTCTATTGCATGTATTCTATTTATGAAAAGAACAGTGGTTAACTAGTTTTGTTTCATGACCCAAATTTTCCATTGGAC